AAGCAACAATTTATAGTCGATCGTTATAGCTTTACGTAGATGCTTCTGTATTCGATGATACTCCAGACAGAAATATGTATTCCAGTATAGTCCTATCTATTTCTTAGAAAAACGAAAATAATACTTTCACTACTTCTTCAACAAAGGAGAATCTTAAAACAGTAAATCGTTGAAAATTTTACTGTTCCGCATACCTTTTAAACAATACGACTGCCCCCTTATTTATCTGAGGACATCCAGAATTTTTTTTTTATTGTTATTCACATATTCGTTTATGGGGAGAGGAATCAAGCTTGTCAGCGTCACTAATAATTCATCCTTATTGATTGGTTGATTACATTTTCTCAAATTGGCAGACCGAATTGAAAGACAGGTTCAATGAACGATTTTATTTATTTCAAGGCGAAATTCGTTTTGGATTACTCAATATTTAACGCAAATTTAGATTGCTACCTTGTTCTAGATTTGGGAACGGTATCGGCGTACGGTTTCTCTTATATATGGTACTTATATTCGCACACGTCAATATTACCGTAACTTGGAAACTTTTTATCAGCTCGCAGCAAAATATTAAGAAAAGTGTGGTCATCTTGTTGACCGGATTTTTCCAAAGTTGATATATTTCTTCTTGATTCTTGAAAACCAATATAATGGTGGTGAGATAACTTTGTTGGTTCACCCAGGAAATAATGTCAAGTATTTTGACTCTGCACGTAACGCTGACATCAGTCTATAAAGGATTACATTCGTTAAAAGTTAGTCCTTCGGACCTTCAAACATGCACACCAAAAATATATAGATCAAGTCAGCCAAACAGACGTACACGATTAGTCCGCACTCCATAGTCCCCACCCATTCGATAACACCAACGCTAGTTTCTTCCCTGCATTTTGTATCCACCATCTGGCAACGGTGCTGAACCACACCAATCATCTGTGCAATAAGCGCCAGCCGCGATACTAATATTCAAGATCGAGAACGCCAGCGATGCAGTGAGATGCATACAGAGTCTGTCGCATAAAGATTGCCATCGTCCCGGCCGCTGGCTTGTGTCGTCTGTAAATATACTCAGTGACATTACATGTGCTACACTCAGAAAAAACAATTTGTTCAATTTTTTTTTCGTATCATAATGACTATATTTAAGGCGACAATATGCACGTTATATCTTTGTTTTTGTTTACCTTTGTTAAAATGTTATCTCTCAGTACCAACGTGTTATTTTATTCTGCGTTATATTTTATACAGGGTGTTTCAGATTCGATAGAACTTTTAAAATTAATGCATAAAGTCTATATAAACATGGGTCGAAAAATGCGTGGCTTCCGAAATACAGGGTGGTTAAATTTACTTTCTGAAATAGTTTTTTTTAAACATTTCGAACAATATTTGATTTATAACCGTGAAAATTGGTATACAAAGGTTTTTTGGTTCGACAAAACGAACCATGGGCATAGTTTTACTGGAGCCGCTAGAGGGCGCTCTCTACTGTACCTGTAGTGTATTAAAATGACCGAAAATTTTTTCTTAGTGCAATTTTTTGCTTTTTGAATAAAGAAACTGATTCTTCGCACTTTTCAACATAAAAAAGCTCTAATGTGAGTTTTCGTTATAGTTAGCCGTTTTTGAGATATTTCAATTTTTAAGGTTCGATGCATTTTTAATTATTTGTGGGAAAATAATATTTTTTTTTTACATTTTCGATTTGGGCATTACAAGCAATTAAGATGATCGGTTAGATTGTGTTTTTAAACACAGCAATAATTCCTAACTCCAAATAAACACAAAAAAACAGAATATTAATTTGTTTAATTTTCAAATATTATTTTTAACAAATTAAATTAATTATTTACAACTAAAATGCTATTGGATAGTTAGGACAAACATACAAAATCTAAAGTAGTTGCTCGAAATGTAAACCCAATTGTTCAATACACAATTCACATCTACGAATGATCGAACGTGGTATAGCATTATTCAAATAAGGCCTTATTTCATCACATGCATTCCTGATTCTGTCTATTAGCATATCTCTTGTGGTTACGGGAGTCTGGTACACTTTTTCTTTTAGAAATCCCCACACAAAGAAATCTAATGGATTTAGGTCAGGGGATCGTGGAGGTCAGGCTACTGGTCCCCAACGGCCGATCCATCTTTCTGGATAATTTTCGTCCAGCCAGTTTCTAACTATCCTCGAATAATGAGCTGGACAACCATCAAGCTGGAACCAGGCCAATCTTCTCAAATCTAACATAACAGCATCCCACATATTTGCATGTTCAGCCTTTAAAAACTCCAAGAAGGTCGCAGCATGTAACCTTGCAGGCAAAAGGTAGGGTCCCGATTACGGTAGATACCAATCCACACGTTCACACTAAATTCATGCTGAAAAACAATAAACCGAAACACCCTGTATACAATACAGTTCTGACATTAATTTTAATTGTATCAGTAAAATCTTGTCAAACTTAAGGGACTATTACGAGTACAATAGCTATGTTTTCATTATTTGCCATTATAATTATTACCCTGTATAATTGGATTAGCCTGTTGGACAATTATGTGTAAATAAATGAGTAGAATTATTGAGGTTGGAAGCATATAAATATACTCTTGCCAAAAATGAGATATACCCTCTCTCGCCCCTTACAACACCCAAACCCTGATTTTTACTACTACAAAAAATTATCTGAAAATTATCAAGAGCTTCTGAAGTGTCAAAAAACGAAGTTTGAGTGATTATTATTTTTTTGCTTTTTGTTGTTCACGGCGCCTCATCAGAGATGCGCTTTTTGGGATGCACATGTCATATTTATAACATCAAAAAAATTTAATCTAATTTTCGAAATTTTTCGCTATTACAATACTCTTAAGACAAGTTAACTTCATGATGTGACGTGCAATAATATGACGAATCTAAGAACATATTATTATATGGATACATAAACTTGACTGACAACAAACTGTCCATATTTCGGTACATTCCCAAGAGAAGACCACCACGCCCGCTTTCTCTTAGTGATTCTACTCCCTGGTTTTCAAGAATAGATTGTGCCCAACATCCATGCTCCATCATGGACGGTGTAGTCAGAGCAGCAACACCTCAACGATGAGAGCAGTATTCCGGGCTCACTCCTTAAAATATCGTTGAACTGATGATATATACTCAACTTGTTTACAGTATTTGTTCCCAAATCGCTACATACTTTCTTAATAATGAAGAAAAGGATTGAATCAACCTCCTTTCCAGAAAACTGACAAAGCCATCGGCACAGGTATTATGTATCTTGAAAAGTACATTATGCCGAGTTTTTTGACATTATGCTGGTTTTTTTAACGTTTTGTAGGTTTTTCTACAAGATGTTAACTTAGCACTTAGTTGTACGTGTTGCCTTAACGTCACGAGGCTTGTTATCAATCTTTGGCTTTGATGTGATGCAAAATCTGCTTCTGAGATGGCATGACTGGAGGTCTAATCTGTAAGTTGTATGAGTTGATGATAATTATATTGGGTTCTTGTCTCAAATATATTTAATAGAGATTAAAAGCTTGAAATTAGTTGCGCAGCCACTTTTTCTGATACATTCTGGAAATTACATATACAGGGTCCGCCAAAGGAACCTGATGAGTATGAGTATGAAACTACAAATGTATCTTTCAAGATATTTATTTTCATATATAAGTAATCGAAAGTGTATTAGATGCCATTTTATGTATAGAAAATAACTTCGGTCAAATGGTGTCCTTCACTGCGGACACACTCTTCCAAACGGTTTCGCACATTCCCCATTACGCGCTGTACCATACTCATCGGAATCGCGCTAATTTCATTGCGAATGTTTTCCTTCAATTCTTCAATGGTCCTTGGGCTCGTTAAATATACCTTGCTTTTGAGATAACCCCATAACCAATAGTCACAAGCCGTGAGATCGGGAGACCTTGCCGGCCCAGGAACATCTCCATTCCGCGAAATGACTCTTCCTGGAAACATTTCTCGCAGTCGAACCATTGTTGCTCGTGCTGTATGCGCTGTGGCGCCATCTTGCTGAAACCATACAGTATTTAAATCTATGTTCCGTCGACGAAGCTCTGGTTCCAAAAATGTGTTTAACATTTCCAGATAACGTTGCGAATTGACCGTGACAGAATTTCCAGCATCTTCCTCAAAAAAATAGGGTCCAATTATGCCGAATCGCGACACTCCGCACCAAACAGTAACCTTGCGACTATGAAGGGGTCGCTGGTGAAGTTTTCTCGGGTTTTCTGCACACCAGTAGCGAAAATTCTGCTTATTTACGTAGCCTGATAACTCGAAATGCGCCTCATCAGACATAATTAAGCCACCTAAAGCGTTTTCATCCAAAAGTTCCAGAAGCTGGTTGCTTGCAGTCAAACGGTTCACAAAGTCTTTAGCTGTCAGTTCTTGAACCATCGCTAATTTGTAAGGGTGATAATGTAAATCCTTATGCAAAATACGCCGTACTGTTGTTTCTGAAAGCCTTAGACTAATTGCTTGTAGCCTAGCTGAACGACGTGGACTTTGCTGCACCGCTGTTCGCACCCTCTCAATATAGGCTGGAGTCCGAACTGTTCGACGCATTCCTGGTGGCTTAGCTTTCATTGCTGATGCAGATCGACGAAAATTTTTGACCCACAACTTAATTGTGTTACGGCATGGAACAGAACCATGACGTCCGACATTGAAATGTGTACGAAATAGACGCTGTGTAATGATCACCGAGTCGTGATTTTTAAAATACGTCTCGATAACAAATGCGCGATATTCACTTGTCCACAGCTCCATGACTACTGAAATGGCATCTACTACCGATGTCTTGCCCACTGTAACCGATGTTCTACGTGAAAAAACAGCTTCGTACTATCCATTCTGAAAACGTCAGGTTCCTTTGGCGGACCCTGTACAAATTTGCTGAATTTCAAAAAAGAGAGAGATCAGAAATAATTATATTCACTGTACACTGTCGATGTACAAGCCAATGTAGGGTAAATCGAGGTTATATTGTCATAGAGGAGAGATGGCCCAACTCGATATTTTCCTAAATAGTTACTAGAGGGCGTTTTTTTCAATAAGGCGTAATGTACTGTTGTGTGATCGTGCTATACTAGAAACTCTGAGTCAATTAACTAAGTTTAAAGGTAAGTTATTTTAAAATTACTGTTTACATGGGTTCAATAGTTTTTGAATACAATTTTCCACTAGCCAAATTTCATAAAATTTTATTAGTTTTTAACAATCCGTCTGGTGTTTATTTTACCATGTGCCTAAGCGTGTTACGCGAATTAACGTATATAAAATCTAAATCATGCTATGGCCATCTTTCCTCGAAGAAAAGGAGAGATGGCCCACTTATACTAAGTGACATATAAATCCGAACACCCAGTTTAAATGGTTTTATTTTAATAAAAGTTGGTGAATGTATTTATCTTACTGTAAATAACAAGTGAAAAAATTTTCAGCCTTATCAGTTGGACATTCCAGTTTTTATACTGCTTTTTTTTAATTCACTAACGCTCTAAAAATGAATATTTCAGCCGCAGTAAAGAATCAACGTTGGCGGATTTTGGTTCTTGACATCCTTTACGATCGGTTACGATGCCTAGAGTACGGAGACCTGTACGATTTCGTCAACTTAGTGAGTTTGATAGGGGCCATATAGTGGGACTTCGGGAAGCTGGACTTTCTTTTCGGGCAATTGCAGTTAGAGTGCAAAGAAGTGTAGACACTGTGGTTAGGTGTTGTCAGGCATGGCTTCGAGAAGGCCGTACGCAAAGAGCAACGGGCACTGGACGCCGCCGTAGAACAACAGACCGGCCACACTGGGTCCTCCCTTTAACTCGAGAACACCGACGTAATCGCCTTGAGTGGTGCAGACAACGGTCACTCTGGGATCAGGAATGGAACAGTATTGTCTTTAGTGACGAGTCTCGATTTTGTTTAGGCATGCACGATGGTCGTGCCAGGGTTAGAAGGCGACGTGGTGAAAGGAGGAATCCACAGTTTTTTGTTGAAAGACATGTTCATCACACTGTTGGAGTTATGGTTTGGGGTGCTATAGCTTATGGTTTCAGGTCACCTTTAATCTTCATCAGATGTAACATGAACGCGCAGCGTTATATCCACGAAGTTCTAGAACCCCATCTTTTACCCTATCTTGACACCCTGGCAGATCCAACTTTCCAACAAGATAATGCCCGACCACATGTTGCAAGAGTCAGAATAGACTTCTTTCAACATAATGATGTCACATTGTTACCATGGCCACCAAGATCTCCCGACTTATCCCCAATTGAGCACGTGTGGGATATGATGGGTAGGAGATTGCTCAATTTGCAACGTCCTCCTCAGACTCTAGAAGCACTTCGAGAGGAGTTGGTGGTTGCCTGGAATGAGATACCACAGGAGGACCTTGACCACCTGATCAGAAGCATGCCTAGGCGCGTTGGAGAATGCGTAGCACATCAGGGTGCATCCACACATTATTAAAGGTCAAAGGGCTTTAAAGCAGTGCAATCATTTTGAAATTTTTATCATTTACTTATTATGCTTCATTAAGTACTTATACAAAATTTTATTAAAATAAAACCATTTAAACTGGGTGTTCGGATTTATATGTCACTTAGTATATTTCCTATGTATGATGGCCATCGTAGATCATTTGTATTTATTTTAGATGCCAAATATTTATAAAAGAAAATCATTGGAGAGCGCCAAATGGACCGAGGAGCAACTGAAATCTGCAATGAGTACTGTTAAAGATGAGGGATTATCTGTACGTCAGGCTGGAAAAACTTACGGTATTCCGAGAAAGACATTGGAAAGGCGAAAGAATGAAGACCATAAGAAAAAATTGGATCCAGATACTACTTTCGGAGCTGCACATGAAAACAGACTGGTTCGGCATATTAAAGAAATGCAAAAAGTGGATCTCCACTTACTAGAGATGATTTGCGAACCATAGCTTATAAATTTGCTGTTCAGCTGGGCTTAAAACATAAATTTAATAATCGGCTTCAGAAAGCTGGTTACGTTTGGCTGCATTCATTTCTCAACAGAAATCCACAAATATCAGTTAGAAAAGCAGAAAGTTTGTCGTTGGCGAGGTGCACAGCAATGTCTAGAAAGGTAGTAGTTGATAACTTTAAAGTACTGCCGAGTGTTCTGGAAGAAAACAATATCTTGATAAACCCGAAAAATATTTTTAATATGGACGAGGGTGGATTGTAACTAAATACAAGACCGGGAGAAGTTTTGGCAGTAAAAGGATCAAAAGTAGTTTCGTCAGTTGCTTGAGCAGAAAAGGCCGAGACTGTAACAGTTGTTGCCTGCTGTAACGCCGAGGGCACTTTTCTTCCTCCTGTCGCTATTATGAAAGGAAAAAATTTAAGTTAGTCAGTTTTTTAATGTAAGTTACTTTTTTGGCAAAAGGATTGGATATTGAGTTTTTAGTTTTTTTTCTGTTATATGTAATAATAAAGTCTCATAGGTATTTCACGAGTATTCTTATAAAACTCATTATTTTCTTTGAATTTTATATGGCCATCTTACCTTCTATGATATGGCCCTCTCTACTAAACACTATAGAAGAGATGGCCCACATATAAAAAATACCGATATTTATCAACAAAATGAAAAACCATATTTATGATAACTTTGCACAGAGCAACAAATAATAATTACCATGCCCTACCCTAAAATATTATATTTTTTGTTAAAACCCAATTATTAAAAGTATTACAGACGATTAAAAAAAATATGGCCATCTTTCCTCGGTTTACCCTATATGCTAACAGTAATTACACACAACGCGGGCGCGGTGAGGATTTCCCGTAATTCTCCTCAGTTTTTCGTAATTTATAACTTTGAACTAACCTCTCTTCAGAAAGCACAACATATACGTAAATAACCCGTCATATTCAGCATGTTCAGTAATGATTTTCTCACACAGCAAATACCACTGCTTTTATACACATGCAGACCAATACACATAATCATTCAGATGCGATCTTGCTATTCAACCAACTTTCTTCTCAGAGATAAAAACTACAGACACAAATACACTCACAAAACTATGCAACCAATAATGCGTATAGTTTAGATGAGTGATTCCTCCATAGATGGACGTTCACAACGATCCTAGTGAGCAAATGTGGAATGACTGTTTGCGCCCTAAAAACTACCTAGTCTGCAAGTTGACATCTTCTAGGTTTTTTTTGACGTTTTGTAGGTTTTTTACATGATGTTTGAATAAATACCTAGGAATTGTTGGCTGGGAAATTTTTGTTCGCATAACACGAATTGTATCGCATTGCGGGGAATTGACAGGGATTACGATAAATCACGGGAAATTATGTGGAATTAAGATGAGTTAGAGGAATCACGGTGAATGAAAGATTTTTTTAGATATTCCTAGTGAAAATTACTGTACGAGTAAATGTAAAGTAAGTTGGAGACGATGTGTCAAATGCACATGCACTGTTCCAGATGCGCTGTTTCTGTTTGGCATTAAACCAAGGAATCTATAAATAAATGAATCATAATTTCACTAAACGAGACATTGACCTTTATCAAGTGTTTTTAATTCATTGCCGAACATTTTTGTATAAACATTGCTATATCATAATCGTAAAAATTCCAGATAATGGGTCAGATATGCGAAAAAATCAGTGAGATAATTTATTTTGTCATGTTTGAACATTTGCCAAAATAAGTATGTGAGAGTACAAACGTCGTTGTAATCTGTAAGTTTCCTTTAATAGAAAGTATGATTTACGTTATAGGAGAAACCGCATCTATCCACCATTCCCAAATTATGCCCAAAATACGTTTCTTTTTTTTTTTTGGTCGCAACTGTTGAGTAACTCATCCAGTCCTCTTATACAAGCTGCCATCCTATGACCTCCCAGAGAAGCTTTTCAGACGGGCGGCTGACTTCCTCTCTCGGTGCAAGATATCCGTCATAATTGACGGGTTCTCCTCTTCATCCAAAGTCAACGCGGGTGTTCCTTGGGGTGGAACCTGGCTCCGGCATTATTAGCTTTGCTGATGACAGTATTCTAGCTGCAGGCGCCCAGAGTGGTAAGCCGGTCTTTGCCGGTGAGCTGGAGAAGAAGAGACTAGCAGCGACTTCCTTTTTGACGATGTCTATGGACTAATTGTATGGGCTTGTTTGACTGACTTGATCCATTTAATTTTAATAGTAACGACGAAGTTGTCGCGACGGAGACACGCAACTAAAAAACGTATGTCTTTGAGCTTACCGAACAAACGTTGACACACAGGGGTAGGTTGCATGTGTATGTATGAGGGAGATGGAGATATACAGGTTGTTTCAGTTTATTGTTGCATATCTTTAAGATTCGATAGAACTTTTAAAATTAATGCATAAAGTCTATATAAACATAGGTCGAAAAATGCGTGGCTTCCGAAATACAGGGTGTTTAAATTTACTTTTTAAAATAGTTTTTTTAAATATTTCGAACAATATTTGATGTATAACAGTGAAAATTGGTATACAAGGATTTTTTGGTTCGACAGAACGAACCATGGGCATAGTTTTACTGTAGCCGCTAGAGGGCGCTCTCTACTGTACCTGTAGTGTATTAAAATGACCGAAAATTTTTTCTTAGTGCAACTTTTTGCTTTTTGAATAAACAAAATGATTCTTCGCACTTTTCTGCATAAAAAAGCTTTCCTGTGAGTTTTCGTTATAGTTAGCCGTTTTTGAGATATCTCGATTTTTAAGGTTCGATGCATTTTTAATTATTTATGGGAAAATAATATTTTCGATTTGGGCATTACAAGTAATTAAGATGATCGTTTAGATTGTGTTTTTAAACACAGCAATAATTCCTAACTCCAAATATACACAAAAAACAGAATATTAATTTGTTTAATTTTCCAATATTATTTTTAACAAATTATTTACAACTAAAATGCTATTGGATAGTTAGGACAAACATACAAAATCTAAAGTAGTTGCTCGAAATGTAAACCCAATTGTTCAATACACAATTCACATGTACGAATGATCGAACGTGGTATAGCATTATTCAAATAAGGCCTTATTTCATCACATGCATTCCTGATTCTGTCTATTAGCATATCTCTTGTGGTTACGGGAGTCTGGTACACTTTTTTTTTTAGAAATCCCCACGCAAAGAAATCTAATGGATTTAGGTCAGGGGATCGTGGAGGCCAGGCGTTTGGAAATCTTCGTGCGTATTCTCTGGCTGTTTCTGCTGCGTTTCCATTTACAAAACCATACACAAAATTAATATCCGCTAACTCTTGTTTGGAGAATAAAAATGGCATTTTTATAAAACAAAAAAAAAATATTTTTATTTACTATTATTATATCTATAAATTTTCAAGAATTTTCTTCCCAAGATTCTTCAAATTTTTTAATAAACAGGTAAAAGAAACTAAATTTCGTGCATTCACAATTGCAAAAAAACGTTTCAGGTTTCAACAGACAACAAAACTAACTGTCAACTAATTGACGTTTAATCTTATTCTGCTTTCAATTTCAAAAATATTTGCAGGCACAGCCTACTTCTAAAAATTATCGAGATACTGACTTTTTAACGTTATTTTATCATAAATAATTAAAAATGCATCGAACCTTAAAATTCGAAATATCTCAAAAAGGGCTAACTATAACGAAAATTCACAAGAGAACTTTTTTATGTTGAAAAGTGCGAAGAATCAGTTTTTTTATTCAAAAAGCAAAAAATTGCACTAAGAAAAATTTTTCGGTCATTTTAATACACTAGAGGTACAGTAGAGAGGGCCCTCTAGCGGCTACAGTAAAACTATGCCCATGGTTCGTTTTTCCGTACCAAACAACCCTTGTATACCAATTTTCACTGTTATACATCAAATATTGTTCGAAATATTTAAAAAAAACCATTTTAGAAAATAAATTTAAACACCCTGTATTTCGGAGGCCACGCATTTTTCGACCCATGCTTATATAGACTTTATGCATTAATTTTAAAAGTTCTATCGAATCTTAAAGTTATGCAACAATAAACTGAAGCACCCTGTATAAAGGGATACTGATAGTCTTACTTTGACCCACCAAAAACGGTGACTACAACTATATCTGTCTTGCCTTCACTACGTCACTCCTTCTAAGGAAAAAAAAATGAAATTTGTTGTAATGGGAACTAAAATATCATCATAGTATGTACATTTTTCGATTTTTTTAATGCCTGAAGTTTGAAAAACACACTACTTGGATTTTTTTATATTTTTCTGTTAACTATTCTGACTTTTCTTATCACCCGTTTCTGGGATACCCTGAATAAACCTATACTTTGAACATGTACTTCTCAATTTCGGATGTGCCGTTCAAACTTTTTATCCTCGTGGCATGAGCTATAGGGCAAATATTCGTTCAATTTCTCCAAAAGTGTTTTCCCAGTGTTTTTTTTGCGGGGTGTTTAGAAACATTGGCTGTGCCACCAGGCGCGTTTTTGGATTTTGATAATATCTAACTTCTGTAACATTAAACAGGGCATTAGCACTTGCCACAATGCATTGTTGTATATTCTATAAATAAAAGTATTTTATAATTGGAAGGCTAAATAGACACTGCAAACATACCTACTTACTAAAAATAGATAACTCTAATATCCATCTGCTAATACTGGTTTTCCGTAGTATGCGTTCAGAATAGATAATAAATAACTATCTAGTCATAATTGCCAAGTTATCATTTAAAAATACCTCGCGACATGTGCAACAGCCAAAATCAATGAGTTCAGGTACGCAGTTATGTCAGTTTTTGGGATTAGGTAAAAATTAGGTAAAAATATTAGGCTTGGTCATTCTGTATCGTATAAAGTAAGCGAGATAAAGTAAGTATTTGGAAGTATGTTTAATTCACAATTCTTTTATAACTTCAACGTATCAGATAAAAACCTCAACATTTCACGACACGCAACGTCTCCTGTACTTTATAGCAGACACGATTCTACAATATTTAGTATCGATAATCAATATTGATCGAAATGCACGTCAATCAACAAACAAAAATCATATTGTTTCAGCTTTAACAATTTCACATAACTTTTTGTTAAATGTAGGTTCTAATGTCTGGTGATAAGGCTAGACTATTTATCTATGATACCAGTTCATAATAAATATAAAGATTTAGACCGGGTTCTAGGTTAAACGTTATTTTTATTAGACAATGTTGAAACCAGCCCAAAGCAACAAATTCAGACTAGCTAGAAGGCGCCATTCAAGGATTTGTTCTTCTTAATTCTCATACTCGGTAGTGAGGATCAAATTACACTTAACATAAGTCAATTCTTGCTAATTTTAGTGTTGTTTTTTGAAAATGCGAGTTGGACTTGCTCCGTTTTCAAGACAGATGGAGTCAAAGTTTCCTGTTTTAATTCTATTTTTTTTTCAAAGAAAATTGTTTATTACTTTTTGATTACATTACTTTAGTTAAAAAATTCAAGTACAATTAAACAAAAAAACCTTATCAATTATTTTCAAATAAAGTTTGTCGCTCAGTGTCATGAAAGCGAAGTATTTTTGATATGTGAACTTCTATTCTTAATGATAGACAAGAAATCAAGAAATCACCCATTGTACTTTAGCCAGATACTTTATGAAACCCCCTGTATACACTGAAAACCACAGATTATAATCTGCGCTGAAACAAAATACCAATGACGACGTAATGGGTACGACAGACAATTTAAAAATCGCGCCTTTTTCACAAACTAACCTGCCATATATTGTTTGTTTTGGCACTTCATTCTGCACACATCTTTTATGATATTTGTATACAGTTTTCCGTAACTCATTAATTCAGAGCTTGTTGTCAAGAACAATTGATGGCTTGTCCCATGAAAACCTAGTGTCCAAACGCACTTAGAGATCTTCTTGTCTATTTTTGATCTAAAGTCTATTCATTTTTATGGGGCCATTTCTAAGGCTAACACTGATTGATACCATCAAATATTTTCAGATGTTCCTTATACGTTTTTAATTATTAACCTGCACCCTTATTACGCAACTTAAAAACTGAAATTGTATCGATTTTTTTGTACTCCAGCTACCACGAGGACCTAAGGCCTAAACACCCATGGGGTACCTAGGGGCTATAGGAGGATACAGGGGAAAAGGGGGGACGCCACGCGGACTCCAGCGAGGGAATGATAACTTACTTTTTATTACATTATGTAGGTTTTCCTATAAAATTTCACCTTTGAACTAGTTGAAATTCACTTTATGCTCATTTGCAGTACGCGCGTAATAAACTAGCAGCTACTTAGTGCACAAATTGACATTTTACAGATTTTTTTGACATTTTATAGGTTTTTAACGTAATACCCCTGTCGATGTGCTTGAATTCAAGCGTAATGTTCCACGATGAACTGACCAGCTTATAATGCAAAATTCCCACAACATGCCTAAGTAGAGAATATTTTTTTCCAGGAACGATAAGTAACTAGGCGTAAGAAAAATAGGTTTAAGAAGATAGAACCAGAATGATCGTAAGACTAGTCAGAAAATCACCACTCCTGCGCTCCAAAATTCTGAAAATCTCACCGAAATGGAATCACTTCTCTACCAAAGTGGAATACAAACCAATCAGAAGCGTACTGGTAGCGAACAGAGGAGAAATTGCTGTAAGTATACGTCTTAAGGGCTTCGCCCACTATAACCGCCAGCGCTACGCGTTTGAACATGAAATTATTTTACAAACCTTAGAACCTTTTTAAATTTGGACAGAAGAAAGCTTTTATAGCCACTCTCAGGCAAAAAGCTCGATAGTATTGCCCTATCGGCCATTCATTCCCGAAATGTGTCTACCAAATACCAAAATAAGTATATAAATGTCGTTAAAATAAAAGTTATTCTTTACTTTTGATTTATAATTAATGAATAGTTTAGGGTTTTGGCTACCTAACCTACCTCGCTAGATGACTTATAATATTTGTTTTCTACTGGGTTGTATGTTTGTAGTTTATTTCACAGAACAAAAAAGTATGAATATAATTTGTTTTTGATACCAAGAAGAAAATTGTTCTTAATTATACTAAGTGACATATAAATCCGAACACCCAGTTTAAATGGTTTTATTTTAATAAAATTTTGTATGAGTACTTAATGAAGCATAATAAGTAAATGATGAAAATTTCAAAATGATTGCACTGCTTTAAAGCCCTTTGACCTTTAATAATGTGTGACTGCACCCTGATGTGCTACGTATTCTCCAACGCGCCTAGGCATGCTTCTGATCAGGTGGTCAATGTCCTCCTGTGGTATCTCATTCCAGGCAATCACCAACTCCTCTCGAAGTGATCCTAGAGTCTAAGGAGGACGTTGCAAATTGAGCAATCTCCTACCCATCATATCCCACACGTGCTCAATTGGGGATAAGTCGGGAGATCTTGGTGGCTATGGTAACAATGTGACATCATTATGTTGAAAGAAGTCTATTGTGACTCTTGCAACATGTGGTCGGGCATTATCTTGTTGGAAAGTTGGATCTGCCAGGGTGTCAAGATAGGGTAAAAAATGGGGTTCTAGAACTTCGTGGATATAACGCTGCGCGTTCATGTTACCTCTGATCAAGATTAAAGGTGACCTGGAACCATAAGCTATAGCACCCCAAACCATAACTCGAACAGTGTGATGAACATGTCTTTCAACAAAAAACTGTGGATTCCTCCTTTCACCACGTCGCCTTCTAACCCTGGCACGACCAGCGTGCATGCCTAAACAAAATCGAGACTCGTCACTAAAGACAATACTGTTCCATTCCTGATCCCAGAGTGATCGTTGTCTGCAGGACTCAAGGCGATTACGTCGGTGTTCTCGAGTTAAAGGGAGGACCCAGTGTGGCCGGTATGAAAACAAGCCAAAACTTCTCATTCGTCGGTAAACACTTCGCATGCCAATAGGTCTTCCGTGTTCTGCGAACCATTCATTTGCAATGGACCTGGTAGTGGAGAAACGGTCCCTTAAGGCCAATAATCTTAGGCGGCGATCTTCACGGTCTGTTGTTCTACGGCGGCGTCCAGTGCTCCTTGCTCTTTGCGTACGGCCTTCTCGAAGCCATGCCTGACAACACCTAACCACAGTGTCTACACTTCTTTGCACTCTAACTGCAATTGCCCGAAAAGAAAGTCCAGCTTCCCGAAGTCCCACTATACGGCCCCTATCAAACTCACTAAGTTGACGAAATCGTACAGGTCTCCGTACTCTAGGCATCGTAACCGATCGTAAACGATGTCAAGTACCAAAATCCGCCAACATTGATTCTTTACTGCGGCTGAAATATTCATTTTTAGAGCGTTAGTGAATTAAAAAAAAGCAGTATAAGAACCGGAATGTCCAACTGATAAGGCTGAACATTTTTTCACTTGTTATTTACAGTAAGATACATTCACCAACTTTTATTAAAATAAAACCATTTACACTGGGTGTTCGGATTTATATGTCACTTAGTATATTTTTGTTACCGAATTACATAAGTAAGAGAAGAATAATTTCATTAGTAATGACTTGTAATGCCGTAAGTTTAGATCTATTTTGTCAACTGTTATCAAGCATTGTTAAGTAAATAACTAACGAGCTGTCAACCATGGTTCTGTTGTTACTTAAAAAAAAAGACTAAAGAATATGTTTTCAGCATTTCCTCAAGGTGTTTGTTTCATTTTTTTTATGTACCTAAGTTGTTTCACCTTTCGAAGAGGTCAACTGCCAGATGAAGTCCGCGTAATATTGTGATAATTGAATAAACAAATATATTTAACATATTTGTACTATTTCTTTCAGGTGAGAGTATTTCGTGCATGTAACGAACTCGGAATCAAATCAGTAGCAATTTATTCAAAAGAAGACAGAGCACATATTCACAGGTAAGGCTACAGGATGTTGGATCTATTATAATTGCCAAGGATAGCGGATAGACAGACAGACAGACTGACGGAAATGAGTGATATTTTTTTCGTGATTCACGCACCCAAAAAAACCAATATCCCATTTTCAAACTCGCGATTCCAACACTTCCTCCGCTAGTAGGACTAGCAAGTAAATGGTTACTGAATTGATATTATCAGTGCTAAAAAAATGCATATACAAAAAAACTGCACTATGCACCTTGCGTGGCTAGAACCGGATTGAATTTATTCAAGCACGTAAACAACTTAATCAAACGCGGTTTGTAAAGTAGGACCAACATTTTTTTTTGGTAGACTATTGTTGCTGTCATTCTTGTTTCCATAGGTCAAACCCATGCACAATCGTTTGAGTTTGCATCTTATTACGAACTCACTTGGACGTCACGAAGCCACTTTTGCCAAAAATACGTACGCTAGAGTTACTCATCTTATTTTCTCTCTCACTTTATTTCATTCAACACTTATTCGGCGAATTCTTCACAAATTATTTTGGACAATATCTCGCATTCTGAATTAATCAAGAATAAATCGAAAAGCAGCGTGTGTTTGGCAATAACAAGGAGACGCCTTGGGGATGGCGATTTGGCTCAACTTTTTTGTGGTGGTAGAGGGCATTTAGTAGATCACAATGATAAAATATTAAGGCCCACCGTTCAAAGGATCTCGTAAAAAACCTGGGTTTTAGTCCCTAACTCGACCTGTTTAAGAAATAAGTAGGGGGACCTTTCTCAAAAGCACTTTATATAAGTTTCTTAGAAGGCATGCTTATTGACGTTTTTTCAGATTCTACAATCTCCTAATTTAATAATAATAATAATAATAATAATAATAGTAATAATAAACGTCTTTTTATTTGGGCGAAGTTTATCTTAAGCTATTCCCTCACTTAACCCATACAAAAATACATACAAACATGAATAAAATAGATACATGACAATAAGACTCACCATATAACAGAAGTTTTATACATATTTAGTATAATTACTCATAACAGAATAAATACTATTTTTGTAAGCAGAAGTGGTAGAAAAGTACTTTTAATTTTGGCACTCTAAAAGTAGATTCTTGATATGTCTTTTAAAGTTGTCAAATGTTAAAGATTTAGTTTATTATAAAGATAGATCGAGTTAAAGGTGAAGCCTTTATAGAAAAATGTAGTTTTGTGGATGGGCATGGTGAGTGTATTTGGGAAGCGAATATCTCTAGAATGAACACACATACGATTTGGTAATTTTTCCTTTAAAAACGGAGGTAATGAAGTAATTTGGAATTTATGAACATAACATAGTAAGTGATATTTATATAATTTTGTAATATTCAACCAACCCAGTTTTTGACGAGATATCGAAATATGGTCGTACTTTTTCAAGTTTTCTACTAATCTGCTACAGCAAGAATTTTGAATTTTTTGCAAGCGTTAAACAATATCACAATATGTAATTTTTGAAATGATCATGATTCGCATAGAATTTTCTTAGTTTTGTAGTCTAACATTTGTTTATTGAGGTAAAATTGGTAAAGTACTGAAAGACATCTCTTAGTAATATGATTCACATGTGGAATGAAATTTAGGCAGTCATCAAGGAAAATATCTAAGTTTTTAACTGATTCATGCACTTGAATAATTTTGCCATCCGGATATATATTTGTATATCTTTTATTATATACTAAGTGACATATAAATCCGAACACCCAGTTTAAATGGTTTTATTTTAATAAAAGTTGGTGAATGTATTTATCTTACTGTAAATAACAAGTGAAAGAATTTTCAGCCTTATCAGTTGGACATTCCGGTTTTTATACTGCTTTTTTTTTAATTCACTAACGCTCTAAAAATGAATATTTCAGCCACAGTAAAGAATCAACGTTGGCGGATTTTGGTTCTTGACATCCTTTACGATCGGTTACGATGCCTAGAGTACGGAGACCTGTACGATTTCGTCAACTTAGTGAGTTTGATAGGAGCCGTATAGTGGGACTTCGGGAAGTTGGACTTTCTTTTCGGGCAATTGCAGTTAGAGTGCAAAGAAGTGTAGACACTGTGGTTAGGTGTTGTCAGGCATGGCGTCGAGAAGGCCCTACGCAAAGAGTAAGGGGCACTGGACGCCGCCGTAGAACAACAGACCGTGAAGATCGCCGCCTAAGATTATTGGCCTTAAGGACCGTTTCTCCACTACCAGGTCCATTGCAAATGAATGGTTTGCAGAACACGGAAGACCTATTGGCATGCGAAGTGTTTACCGACGAATGAGAAGTTTTGGCTTGTTTTCATACCGGCCACACTGAGTCCTCCCTTTAACTCGAGAACACCGACGTAATCGCGTTGAGTGGTGCAGACAACGGTCACTCTGGGATCAGGAATGGAACAGTATTGTCTTTAGCGACGAGTCTCGATTTTGTTTAGGCATGCACGATGGTCGTGCCAGGGTTAGAAGGCGACGTGGTGAAAGGAGGAATCCACAGTTTTTTGTTGAAAGACATGTTTATCACACAGTTGGAGTTATGGTTTGGGGTGCTATAGCTTATGGTTCCAGGTCACCTTTAATCTTCATGAGAGGTAACATGAACGCGCAGCGTTATATCCACGAAGTTCTAGAACCCCATGTTTTACCCTATCTTGACACCCTGGCAGATCCAACTTTCCAACAAGATAATGCCCGACCACATGTTGCAAGAGTCACACTAAACTTCTTTCAACATAATGATGTCACATTGTTACCATGACCACCAAGATCTCCCGACTTATCCCCCATTGAGCACATGTGGGATATGATGGGTAGGAGAGTGCTCAATTTGCAACGTCCTCCTCAGACTCTAGAAGCACTTCGAGAGGAGTTGGTGGTTGCCTGGAATGAGATACCACAGGAGGACATTGACCACCTGATCAGAAGCATGCCTAGGCGCGTTGGAGAATGCGTAGCAGATCAGGGTGCATCCACACATTATTAAAGGTCAAAGTGCTTTAAAGCAGTGCAATCATTCAGTCAGTACAAAATTTTATTAAAATAAAACCATTTAAACTGGGTGTTCGGATTTATATGTCACTTACTATATTTCCTTAATTTTTTGTGAGAAGATATGATAACTTTTCAATTTGAGGTTATGACTTTTTGCGTAATTATCAATAGCCTTTAAATCCTCATTTACTTGAGATTCTGCAACTATAATTTTGTCATTATTGAAATTGTTGGATAATTGAAAATCATCGGCAAAGAATTGTATATTGCAATATTTCACCACTTTGTCCAGATCAGCTATGCAAAGAATAAAAAGGAGTGGTCCAAGCACTGTTCCTTAGGACACTCCCGAGGATAATATGCTTCAGAATTCTCATTTCTCTGATTGCAAAAATCTAAAAGAAAACATCATTAAAAAACATCTACATATCTATAATCTAATGTTGGATAATATATTCTAATTTTTCTGAATATTATAATATACGCTCTACTACTACAAAATTGAACTAAATCGCGAACTCCCAATGCCGTGCCGTCACCATGAAAGTGATTTTTTTTTCTAATAAATTCAATAATTTTTCAACAGACTGAAAGCCGACGAGTCATACCTAGTGGGCGAGGGTTTACCACCAGTACAAGCATACCTGAACATCCCGGAAATCATAAAAATATGCAAAGACAACGGGATAGACGCAGTGCATCCCGGTTATGGGTTCCTATCAGAAAGATCAGACTTTGCCCAGGCAGTCATAGATGCAGGGCTCAGATTTATTGGACCTTCACCCGAGGTCGTTCGGAAGATGGGTGATAAAGTGGCAGCTAGAGAGGCAGCTATCGCCGCAGGTAGGCAACACATGGCGAGCTATGATAGGACGGTAATGTGTAATGAATGTCTTTAATCAAGGAGGCCATAAACGCGCCCTACAATTGTAGGGTCGACTGACGATACGGGCCTTAGACGATGACTAGAGATTAAGTTGTGTAAGGGATACATGTATTCGTATGAAACCGATCCTGTCGCCAAGGATTGTGTGATTCCCGGAAATCTAGTGTGCGTAGAACATGGCGCAGAAAAAAGTCATCCTGCCACTTTGAAGTTGAGTCATTAATTTTCAGATAATGATCGTAGAAGGAAGATAAACCAAAAGATGTGTGTAAAAATAAAAAACAATTAAAAAAAATGTTACCTTGTTTTATAAAGTATCCTCCCGACAAGTATTTCAGTGCGGACTTGTATTTGATCGTGCGGTCTTGGAGCACCGGCATGCTCTTCCCTGTGAGGTCTTAAGTCACCTGATTCATGAGCCCTTTGTACTACATTAACAAAGGCACGAGGGGTTGGTTGCACTCGATTGCGAAACCGATCCGCATAAATCCGTGATGCCGCGGCAGCATTTTGTAAAGACTCCCCCCCCCCATAAATAAGAATCATGTCCACAAGTTCAGCATTTTCGTAAACATGTGCCATTTTTTATTTCGTTTGAGCCACGCAACAAACACCACTATTCACTCACGCGTTACCGACTGACACATTGACTGAATACAACTGAATAAAATTGTAGTAAAAACATCGTGATAAGCGTTTCAAATTCTTTCGCTTTTTTGTTTCCGATGCGATAAACCGATAAAGCGGATTATATCCGTTGTTGCCAAACACGAGCACATAATATTATTATTGAGACAGGGCGGTACTCAAATTTCTAAAGGGCTATAACTTTGTGACTTTAATTTTACCAGAAAAATGTTAAAGGAAAAAGACATTTCTTTTGATCAGATCTACTCACTGTTAAAATAAATGACTCAACTTCGAAGTCACCCTGTATATTCAGCCTATTCCAGAAAAGCATCTAAGGGTGACCCTTAAAATTACGGTAGCTTGAGAGCTCTCCTCCATGATACTTCCACGCGATATGCCTGCCAGACAGACCCGCCTGAATTCAGCCTCCCACCGTAACCGTGTCGAACTTCGAACATCCTGAACTGGCCAGTACGACTGCTCCTTTGTCCCTAGAGTATCCAGATTGTGGAGCCTATAGTGTATTTACACCCAAGATAGAATGGATGCGTGATTGCCAAAAGCAAGGACGGCGTACAGGGCCGCATTCAGGGCTACCTCCGGATGATGGACTACCACCAACGTGTTGTAAAACAAAGATGACAGTATTTAACGAAATTATCTAATGTAGTGAAGTAGTTATAGTTAAGGGTGTCGCAAAATCAAATTTTTATTCTTGAACGGGTTTTTCTACAGATTTTTCAAACTAGACAACATGTAAAAATACATACCAGAGGTAACCAGCTGCTCACTATGCACAATGAATCCGTAGTCAACGAGGGGTAGAGATGACACTTTTGTACATGGAATAAATAATCAAGTGGAAATAGATTTTGAAGGTGCACTTCGGACTTGCATTGTCTGTAGTTTATCTGTAAGTTAATATTTCACTATAACTAGGATTCCCATAATATGTATTCTGTGACAAAACAAAAACGCGAAACTTACTCAGACTCACTTGAAAAGCTATCGTCATTAATGTTTATGATGATGGACTCAAAATCTCTCTCAATTATGTTGTCCAGCTCCCACATCGCTACCTCCACTTTCTCCTGAACATGCTGCACACATTTTTGTCATCTTTCTGGTGTGACCCTCTGTATAGCAATTCTGAACAGCTCTTGCATGTTGTATTGTGTGCAGCAACAAAATTTTGCCCATATGAGCTCAATGGGGTTGAGCTCACAGTGGTAAGGCGGCAAACGGAGTACTGTTTTGTGGTGTGCTTTGGCCATTTCATGTATGACATATTTATCATGTCTTGGTCTGTGTTGTTTCACAATATCCAATAGTTGTAATTTCAGTAAGGAAGGGTCGAAATTTATATTTTTGGAACGGAGCCAGCTCTGAATGTCTGATTTTCTAGAAGCTGAAGTTGGGACTTTTTCTATTTTGCGAGAATGATAGGGAGCATTATCCAAAACAACCACAGAATTGTCTTCGAGACGTGGTAAAATGCCTGAAAACCACTTCTCGAATGCTTCCCCATTCATCTCTTCATGGTAGTCAGTGTTTTTTTTTTTTACTCAAAAGTCCATAAGCCGTCACTCACGAAGTCAACTACACCCCAATGTGGCAAATAATGAGCCTTTTTCCTTTGTCTAGAAAGATAAAATCCGCTAAGTACACATGCACGTCTTGTAGGTACGAAGATAGAGAGATATTGTGCGCAAAAATTGGTACCGTGAACTACTTCGATCTATTTACCTGCTTGATTTTTCAATTCGGTCGACAGTCCATCTAGAAATGCCCTTCTGGATGAAGTCACAGTTTTGTCAACCCATACCTTCGGAGTAGTGTGCCCAGCGTTAATCCAGGTTTCGTCCAGGTAATAAATCTTCCTGTGCTGATCCCTGAATGATTTAATTTTGGTCAGGTACTCTCTCCTCCACAGAACAATTTCTTCTCTATCCATAAGTAAGCTGTTACGACCTCGTTTTTTCCATTCAAAATTAAGATGCTTCAAAAGTTTATGAATAGTCGAACGTTTGCAATTTGGTAACATAGCATCCTCGTTAACCTCCCGTAGTACTTTATCAACTGTCGGTATTTCGTTTCTGAAGAAGAACTCGTGCACTTTCCTCCGAATCGCATGCTTGTCAGCGTCATCCGACGATCTTATGATACTTTTGCGATTTTTACCCGTCATTGGCTTGGAAAAGGCATGCTTTTTCTTATGTTCGTTCAAAACATTGTACACTGTCGCTTGGCATACCCCAATTTTATCTGCCACTTTCAGAGCTATTTTCGGGTTAGTTGATGTTTCGTCTTCCTTCCGCTCTATCTTGAATGTATTCAATATGACGTCTTTCATGTCTACGCTAAGATGTCTTTTTTTAATCGCTTTCTAGTCAGCAGTATCTGTACTGGACATGTTCAGGATTGGTTCAAAACAAATAATAACGAGGAATAACAATAACAAACAAAAACTTAACAAATTACTCAAATACACTTAACAACAACAACAGCAAACACCCAAGCAAGATGAATACGAAAACACTAGCACGCAGTGATACACGCGACGGTCGGTGGCCTGAATGCAACACTGCCTGCCCTGCCCCTGACCCGCGCATTATTCCGCCAGGCGACCGCTTGAAATTTAATGGCCAATTGACCAATAAGAGACGTTGTGCCCACCTGTTACCGAGAGATCACGCGCTAACTGTTATTATTTACATCTCATCTTGAATTTGGATTCAGTTTAGTTCTACGAACTTTAGGCAGCTCAAAGATCCGATTAACAAAATTTCTTTGAGCTCCTCATAGTAGCCGCGGGGCCTGTTTTTTTGTTCTGTTATTGGCACTGATCGGTGACCAACTGGCAAGATCCTACAAAAATATAAATGTCTATTTTTTTCTTCTTTAGGAGTTCCTATAGTACCAGGCACAGATGGGCCGATAACTACAAAAGAAGAAGCCAAAGAATTTTGCGTGAAACATGGATTACCAGTGATATTTAAGGTAAAAATTTTTTTAATCGACGAAATAATTTTTGTACAATTGAACTTCATCGTATCGTATCGTCTTTTAAAGCCTTTACATATCTAATATTGAATGCTTGGAATACTATTTTAGGCTGTTTTATGAGTACCTGCAATATCTGACCATTTATACCATAGACATTACAAAAATGAAAGCACAGCTTCATTTCTGATGATGAAATTGTGTTAGTATATATTTATTTAGAATATATTTATGTTGAATAGTTTTATGATCTATAGACACGACTTTTTTAAGGTGGGGAACAGCAACAAAAAGAACTTTCTACTAAATGCAATGCAACTGATTGTATTTTTAATACTTCAATTGCACATTCCACATTTGTTTATAAATCGAAGTCATCTACAAACATTTTTGGAATAATTTCATAATCCTATTATATTTTTGTACCTATAAACTAGTCATCTTTATAAATGTTATACATTTTCCTGGAAACAGTTTTGTAAAACGCTAATTCATAAATATTTACCTAAGCATGGGAGGGAGACAAGAGTTTTGCTTTCTTTTGCTGACGAGGGGGAGGCGGGGTTAATAATACTTAAAGGTCTTCAAATCTAGCAAAAAATACAATGTTTACATTAGACGGTTTTCGATGCTTGAAATGGCTTACAGTTTGCTTTCTTCTTCATCAATAAAACTTTTTTTACCTATTCATTAACTTCGTGTAAAATTATTTTTCGCCGTCTCCAGTTCAGTAAGCAACGACACTCTGTAAAAAGCATATAGGAGTCACCCCTAGAACTTTTATTATCCCATTTTCTGAAAAAAATGCGGGTATAAGTTAATCCTAATTCCATATTCCATAATCCAGGCCGCATACGGTGGAGGAGGTAGAGGTATGAGAGTGGTTAGAAACATGGACGAAGTCGAGGAAAATTTCCAAAGAGCCTCATCTGAAGCTTTGAGTGCTTTCGGAAACGGTGCTATGTTCATTGAGAAATTCATCGAAAGACCCAGGCACATTGAAGTCCAGTTACTTGGTGAGTTTAAAGTTGTTTATCCTCCTTCCCAAGAGGAGAGAATTGTGTAACACCAAAATACAAACTTTCAACTTCATCTATATTTACACATAATCTTTTTATTCAATTTAAAATAATATTACACCATGTATTTTCGCATCTGATAAGAAAAATATTCTTATTCGTTTTTTTTTTTTGGCGTAATTTTATTTGAAAAGGACCATTTTTAACAAAAAAAAGATGTGTGTTGCCAGGCCCAAATTTGCGAAAAAAGTGCTTAAACAATTTTTCAATCAAACTCCAAAAATTACTTTCTTTATTCCGGTCAACTTTTTTTACGGTTTTCTAGGGCATTTTAAATTCAAAAGTTGATTTAGAAATGTTCTCCAAAGTTGATACTTTTCGAGATATAAGCGAAACAATATTTGAAAAAGTGCAAAATATTCCTTGTTCCACTCCGAAAAACAATATAAGACGAAAATTCATAACAGTTTCCGGAATTGAAACGGTCAAGCGTTTTTGAACACCAATTAATAAAGCATCCCACAAACCGGCACGAAATATTCGCTTTGGCTGCGAAAATTTCGCGGCGATGAATTCGCGATCAGATTAAAACGCGGCGGTTTACGGACAGGCTCAGACTTGTGCGAAGCGAATGCGATTGTTCCAGCGTTTTTATCGCGGCGTATTTCAGTTCGCCTTTGTCCGCGTTTTTGACGCCGTTCTTCAAAAATTCGCAATGGCAAAAACGGAATTTTTGATAGAAATAGTGAAAAAGTATCCTTGTTTGTATGATTTGTCGAACGATGTATACAGGAATGTGAGAAAGAAAGACAAGATTTGAATGGAAATAGGAAAAGAATTAAATACAAATGGTATGTACCTAATATTTTTCATTAACTTGTTAAATAATTTACAGTCTACACAAATGTAAAAACGAACATTCTATATATTGGGCATATGCATGTCAGAATTAAAATAATTTACGAATTTGTCACAAGTAGAAAATGCTAGCCTTGCTGCCCGCCGAGGATCATTTGCTATATCAGTAAAAGCTCTAAGCACGGGTTCTGGGGGATCTAAGAATTGAAAATATTTGTCATCGCCACTTTTACTTCGTAAAAAATTGTGTAAAACACATGCCGTACGTACAATTAGAATAGTAGTATCTACTTTAGTTTCTAATGGCCTGTCAAATATTCGCCATTTTTGAGACAAAATACCAAACGCATTTTCCACGACCCTTCTAGCTCGACAAAGTCTTACATTGTATTTCTCTTTTCTGACGTCTGTTAAAGTCTGCTTATAAGGAAATGGTCTCATAAGGTATGGTTTTAAAGCAAATGCTTCATCACCAATTAAGACGTACGAGCAGATTTCATTTTGCCCAGGGAGAAATCTAGGTGCAGGGACACTCATTAAATTTTGTTCAAATTGTTTTCCCATGTTTGAGGTTTCGAAAATACCCCCATCACTATTTTTTCCGAAACCACCAATATCAACACATATAGATTTATAGTCCGGGCCAACAATGGCCATAAGTACTATTGAATATTTATGTAAATAGCACCAGTAATTGGAGCCACTGTTGTTAGGTCTCTTGATTGTTACATGTTTACCGTCCACGCTGCCAATGCAACTGGGAAATCCCCATCTATTTTCAAATTCTTCAGCACATTTTTTCCATATATTCTCTGTTGGTTCTGGTAAATATATATGCTCCATATGTCTGCATATCGCTTCACAGACTTCGGTTACGATTGCACTCACTGTTGTAAAGCCAACTCGAAAGCTATGCCCAATGCTATAGAAGGTGTCACCAATGGCAAGGAATCTATAAAAAAAATCGTTTTTAGGTGACGAAGTAAAAAAAAGGTGGAAGAATATCAGAGACACATTTACAAAATATATAAAATCTACCAAACCAAAGACCGGCCAAGCAGTGGGCAACATAAAAAAATGGCAGTGGGCTGACTACATGGAATTTTTCCGTTCTTTTTTGGCATTTGCCAAAACGTCGTCTAATGTGAAAGATATTGACGTCATACATTATGAGACTGTCGAATTTAACTCAAATATATATCAGGAAAGGGCTGGAAATGTAGAAACCGAAAATTTGGAAGACCGCGGCCATGGAGAAGATGAAAATGCTGATGTAGATGTAGAAGATGCACAGAACGCCTCGGCAACACAGACAGCACCACCTTCTTCATTGAACACTACAGCAGTGACTACTCCAGGGCACACCTTTCCGCAGACTGCAACTACACCAAAATATAAAACGAGCAGAAAACGCTATGAACCACCATCTTCGTCTGAACTCATTAATTATTTTGAAGGTAAAAAACCTAAAAAATAGAACGAGGCCATTGATTCACTTTTCTTGGCACATGCACAGACTGTGAAAACACTTCCCTTAAAGCGTCAAGCCCGAATAAAACTAAAAATAGCCGAATTAATAGCGCACGAAGAATTTGAACATATTGAAGAAATGTCTTCAGCGTCTACCCAGAATTCTGCAAGTATGTATGATAGTAGTATGTCGTCCTTCCCAAGCGGCACTGGGTTTACTCCAATAATATACTCAACAGAGGAGGCAAATTCTGCCTCGAATTATTTAGCAACATTTAATCTTAGTCCAATTATTACAATAAAATATTTATTTCACGATCCCTGAAGTTTTCGTATTCGATAACCCTACTAATTTTAATACATATAATTTTTTTACCTGAGTGTAATAGCAAGTCGTTCTTCTGGCGAAATAGCTTCACGATAATTTGTGTCAGATTTTCGTATTTCATCTTTCACCAAGTTCAATATTTCATCGAAACACTCTGGAGTCATTCTAAAATATACGTAAAGGCGCTGTTCATCCAGCCGAACTTGTGGCATCAAGGTATGGTATTCCCCAAATTTATTTCGTTCCAAGTTAATATCATGTACCCACTTCCTTCGTTTCCTAAACAAAATTGAAAATATTTGTTTTATGTACTTCGTTAAACTTAATACATACCCAACTATCAAATGGCGTTAAATAAACATAACTTACCGTGCATTTTGTTCCTCTTCTAAAGCAAGAAATAGAAGTGCCTCCTCTTCTTCTGAAGACGAGCTCATTGCAAAAGGCAAAAATAAAATGTACGCAACCTGTCGAAACCTTCACGTTCGCGGAGCCAATAAGACGCTTTGGTATGAATAAACAGGTGAAACAGATTGCGAATTTCGCTCTGAATTTCGTTGCGAATACTTCGCCGCGATTATTTCGCGCCGGTTTGTGGGATGCTTAACCCTGGCTGCTTTCTGCTTTTCAGTCAGCAGGTGGGGTATCCAACGAGAAACTAATTTTCTTACTCCTAATGCTTCATGTAAATGTTTTTGAATTGAGGTCTTTGAGATCTTCAAGGACGCCTCAATCTCGCGATATGTCACATGTCTATCTTCAATGATGAGTTTGCGCACAGCATCGACGTTTTCCTGGGTGACTGCCGTATTTGGAGCACCCACCCTGAGATCGTCACTAAGACTCACCCGTCCACGTTTGAATTCTCCATACCAACGGGAAATTGTCGACTGATGTGGCGCTTCGTTGCCGAAGACAGTAACTCAGCAAGGCATTCTTGTTGCGATAATTGTCTCTGAAAGTTGTAATAAATTACGGCGCGAAAATGTTATCGGTTGAGTTCCATTTTTCTAATGACTTGGTGACACTTAAAAATTCACTGTAGTGAGAACACTGCACGTATTGTTGTGAAACTTTCAATTTAAGTTTACTAAAGGGTGAGGTTAAGATTCAGTACTGACGTCCGATCCGCGCGGCCTACTATGTTTCTATATGCAAAACTTAAAATACATCCCTCGTATTACTTGAGTATCCATTAATGAAATTTCAAAGGATTTTAAAAAGTGTTCTTATTACAAACCTTCGTTTTTACTTCCTACGCCAACTGGTGAGGAAGTATTGTAAAAATGAAAAATTTCGGAATTGAGATATTATGTTTTATATATAACCGCCTATAACTTGAGAATGACCGCTCGGATTTCGATGAAATTTCCACATAAGGTTACTTCTACACATAGCACGAAAAAGCTTCTTAATTTTTGAAAATCGATCCAGTAGCGGCGAAGTTATGTGCAAAAATACGATTGTATCGCTTATATCTCTAAAACTATCAACTTTAGATGAAAGTTCTAGAATATCTTTCTTGTTCAGGTTATCTTAAAACCCTAAAATCACTTCGACCGGAGCAAAAACATTTTTGAAATTTGTTAAAAAAGAATTCTAGAAAAATGTTCACACATACTTAATTGGTTAATGTGATTCTGCAAAAAAATCCGATTTAGAATATTTTTCCCGTTAGTTACGAATATACCTGACATATATTTTTCAAGGTGACAAGGCCGGCAACGTTGTCCACTTGTACGAAAGAGATTGCTCTGTACAGCGTCGTCATCAAAAAGTAGTCGAAATGGCCCCGGCACCTCACTTACCCGTCAAAGTCAGAGACCAAATGACGGATCTAGCTGTGAAACTAGCAAGACACGTCGATTACGAAAACGCCGGAACAGTAGAGTTCCTTTGCGATGAAAAAGGAAACTTCTACTTCATCGAAGTGAACGCCAGGCTGCAAGTAGAGCACACCGTCACCGAGGAGATCACCGGTATCGATTTGGTGCAATCTCAGATTAGGGTCGCTGAAGGAATGACTTTGCCAGAATTGGGCATTGTACAGGATAAGATTAAGCCGCTGGTAGGTACAACGGATTACACGGAAATCTCTGTGACGAGGTCTGTAAATTAAGTGATGAGATTGGTTTTTAATTTCTTTTTATTCAAATACTGAGATAGTGAAGACGGATGGCCCTCTAGGCCCGGCGCCTCCAATGTTGCCAGATCGAACGACACGTTGCCAGTCCCATCACTTAATTTACGGACCTCGTATATCATAACAGGTTATAAAGGGTAAAAAGGCAGTACTTGTGTTGAAAACTACTATTTTTTACCTTGAAAAATTGATTTACTGCTTTTATGCTAAGGAAGTGTAATTAAAATGATATATTTGACAAAGTGAAAAAATAATTATCTTTGTTAAATAACGTGATTAATGATATATTTTATAATTGTATCCGTAAAATAAATGTAAGACTATTGGCGTCAAAATTTAAAAAATATGGTAACTGAACTTTACTTAGGCTTCATATGCTATTCTTTTCGAAACAATTCTGACTTTTTTAGAATAGATATCAATAGATTGATACTTTTTTTATGGTCTTGTAGGTAAAGTTAAATAAAAGCTTATAAAAAGGTGACAGAATTTCTCTATTGAGGTGCTAATATAACGAAACACGTGTAAATTTGGCAATTAGTAAAACTATTATACAGGGTGTTTCAGTTTATTGTTGCATAACTTTAAGATTCGATAGAACTTTTAAAATGAATGCATAAAGTCTATATAAACATGGGTCGAAAAATGCGTATCTTCCTAAATTTACTTTCTAAAATGGTTTTTTTTTAAATATTTCGAACAATATTTGATGTATAATAGTGAAAATTTGTATACAAGGGTTTTTTGGTACGACAAAACGAACCATGGGCATAGTTTTACTGTAGCCGCTAGAGGGCGCTCTCTACTGTACCAGTAGTGTATTAAAATGACCGAAAACTTTTTCTTAGTGCTATTTTTTGCTTTTTGAATAAAAAAACTGATTCTTCGCACTTTTCAACATAAAAAAGCTCTCTTGTGAATTTTCGTTATGGTTAGCCGTTTTTGAGATATTTCGATTTTTAAGGTTCGATGCATTTTTAATTATTTATGATAAAACAACGTTAAAATGTCAGTATCTCGATAATTTTTAGAAGTAGGCTATGCCTGCAAATATTTTTGAAATTGAAAGCAGAATAAGGTTAAACGTCAATTAGTTGACAGTTAGTTTTGTTGTCTGTTGAAACTTGAAACGTTTTTTTGCAATTGTGAATGCACGAAATTTAGTTTCTTTCACCTGTTCTTTTTGTAAGTTTTATAAAAATGCCATTTTTATTCTCCAATCAAGAGTTAGCGGATATTCATTTTGTGTACGGCTTTGTAAATGGAAACGCAGCAGAAGCAGCTAGAGAATACGCACGAAGATTTCCAAACCGACGACATCCAACTCGCTCAGTATTTGTAAAAGTGCATCGCCAAATACCTAATTGAAAATGGTTTTGGAAATCTCCAAAGGGATCAAAACATAAATGTTCGTCAGCGCAGATTCACCCGTATGATTCTGCGTAAGTTTAATAGAGATCCTACCACAAGTGTCAGGAGAGTTTCTGGTGCCTTGAGAATTTCAGCAAGCCATGCTCACCGTGTTCTTAGAAATGACCATAGACGTCCTTACCATTTGCAACCTGTGCAAGGACTACAGCCAGGGGACGGAGAACGAAGAATCACATTTTGTCAGTGGATTCTTGATAGAACTGAGAATAATAGGGAGTTTTTAAGTAACGTTTTATGGACCGATAAGTCATGCTTCACTAGGCGTGGAGTGGTAAATTTTCATAACCAACATATTTGGTCGCATGAAAATCCGCATGCAGTTCGGGAAAGAAATTTTCAGCATGAATTTAGTGTAAACGTGTGGATTTGTATCTACGGTAATCGACTATTTGGGCCCTACCTTTTGCCTGCAAGGTTAAATGCTGCGACCTTCTTGGAATTTTTAAAGGCTGAACATGCAAATATGTGGGATGATGTTATGTTAGATTTAAGAAGATTGGCCTGGTTCCAGCTTGATGGTTGTCCAGCTCATTATTCGAGAATAGTTAGAAACTGGCTGGACGAAAATTATCCAGAAAGATGGATCGGCCGTGGAGGACCAGTCGCCTGGCCTCCATGATCCCCTGACCTAAATCCATTAGATTTCTTTGTGTGGGGATTTCTAAAAGAAAAAGTGTACAGGCTCCCGTAACCACAAGAGATATGCTAATAGACAGAATCAGGAATGCATGTGATGAAATAAGGCCTTATTTGAATAATGCTATACCACGTTCGATCATTCGTAGATGTGAATTGTGTATTGAACAATTGGGTTTACATTTCGAGCAACTACTTTAGATTTTGTATGTTTGTCCTAACTATCCAATAGCATTTTAGTTGTAAATAATTAATTTAATTTGTTAAAAATAATATTGGAAAATTAAACAAATTAATATTCTGTTTTTTTTTTGTTTTTATTTGGAGTTAGGAATTATTGCTGTGTTTAAAAACACAATCTAAACGATCATCTTAATTACTTGTAATGCCCAAATCGAAAATGTAAAAAAAAATATTATTTTCCCATAAATAATTAAAAACCTTAACCTTAAAAATCGAAATATCTCAAGAACGGCTAACTATAACGAAAACTCACAGGCGAGCTTTTTTATGTTGAAAAGTGCGAAGAATCAGTTTTTTTATTCAAAAAGCAAAAAATTGCACTAAGAAAAAATTTTAGGTCATTTTAATACACTACAGGTACAGTAGAGAGCGCCCTCTAGCGGCTACAGTAAAACTATGCCCATGGTTCGCTTTGTCGTACCAAAAAACCCTTGTATACCAATTTTCACTGTTATACATCAAATATTGTTCGAAATATTTAAAAAAAACTATTTTAGAAAGTAAATTTAAATACCCTGTATTTCGGAAGCCACGCATTTTTCGACCCATGTTTATTATAGACTTTATGCATTAATTTTAAAAGTTCAATCGAATCTTAAAGTTATGCAACAATAAACTGAAACACCCTGTATATTTTGTAATTGTATCCATAAAGTAAATGTTTTGGCGACAAACTTTAAAGAAGTCGGTAACTGAACTTTACATAGACTTGAAGTGCTAGTCTTTTCGAAACAATTCGGGTCTTTTAAACTAGATATCGACACATAGATATTTTTTGATGTTCTAGTAGGAGTAGGTAAAGTTAAATAAAAGCTTGTAAAAAGGTGACAGGTCTATTTCATTTTAATTTTTCAATTAAGATGCTAATCTAGCTATACACGTTAATTTGGCAGTTGATAAAACTATGATGTAGCAGCTAAATTTGAAATTACATCTGTTGCATTTGTTATTTTTATCTTTAATTTTAGGGATTCGCCATTCAATGTCGTGTGACCACCGAAGATCCAGCTAAAAACTTCCAACCAGACACCGGGAGGATTGAGGTGTTCCGTTCTGGAGAGGGTATGGGTATCCGTCTAGACGGAGCTTCAGCTTTTGCGGGCGCCATCATTTCACCATATTACGATTCTCTTCTTGTCAAGGTAATATTTCCTCCAGCTTACCGTATTTATTTTTATAGAGATGCGCCGAGTACTGTGTACTATTTGCGTATTTAGGGAATCAAGAAAATGCCGTATAGAAAGCTTCGAAATTCAAGGTACTTCCGGAGAAAGACAGAAAATAAATAAATAATTTTTGTACAACAACTAATTCATGGCCAACTAAGGAAATACATCGCAGAAGTTAGGACTGAAAAGTCAATCTATATGTACAAAATCCAATATAGCGTCCATGTCTAAAAACAGAATTGGTGATGAAATTCGAAAGAATAAATGTCAAATTAAAAATTCTTATGGTGAGGGTCGAATTTGGATCATCCTGTATATCTAGCAGTTGCAAGATTTAAAATATTTCAATAATAAAACACAAAATTATAGTAATTCTAATTACACCGACCATAACGTTTCACTCGCAAAAAAAACAATGTGTGTTAATTTCTTGCAAAAGTAGAATTATTTGCAAATCAAAAAGGACTTTGAAAAATTCATTATTACCGAGTATCCGGTATTCGGTAATCGGATCTGGCCGAGAACCCGGTACTTGGTATTTGGATCTGGCCGAGTACCCGGTACCCGGTATTCGGATCTGGCCGAGTACCCGGTACCCGGTATTCGGATCTGGCCGAGTACCCGGTACCCGGTATTCGGGTCTGGCTGAGTACCCGGTACTCGATATTCAGATCTGACCAAGTATCCGATACTCGACGTTTTTAAAAAAGTAGTAGTAGTAGTAGTAGTAGAAAGATTTATTTAGCACATTTGGCTACATAAACAGAATAATTGTAAACAACTTAGAACTAGTAAATTCAAGCCATATGGTGTATGATGTAAATGCTGGGCAACCTATAATTGTAGATTTAACAAGTGATTTCTCAATTTTACTTTAAATTTTGTCAAAGTTTGCTGGTCTTTTATCTCCGAGTATAATTTATTATATTCAATCAACCCTTGATGAAATACAGATTTGTAGCATATGTTATACTTTTTGGTCATTAAATGGAAGTCATCTTTATTTCTGGTATTATGTAAATGATGGTCGACATTTGATGATGTTAAATTAGTTAGACTTGATGGAAATATATTATTTTTTAATTTATAAATGAATATCATTACAAGATATTTGATAACATTTTTTACATTGAGCCATTTTAATTTGCTAAGCATTTGCCTAATTGGAGTATATTTATCTTTATTTAGTATTATTCTCATGCACTTATTTTGTAAAATTTGCAGTCTTTCAAAAATGGAATTATTTGCTAAATATAGAATAGTCGAACAGTACAAGAAATTTGGGAGAATGATGGTATTATAGATAATTTTTCTGCTATATGAACTCAGACATCCAGAAACTCTCGATAAATATCCCACTTTACTACTAATCTTATTTATAACTTTTTCATAATAAATATCAAAAATTAATCGATAGTCAACAAAAACCCCCAGGTATTTAAAATTTTCTACGAATTCAATATCTTCACCATCAATATTCAGTTGACCATTTGTACATTGTTTTTTTCCGATTAACAAGGCTTTCGTTTTACTTGCATTTAATTTTAGTCTGTTAGATGCTAACCATTTTGAGACAAGCTTCAAGTCTTCATTTTTATAAGAGATACCAGACTGAATATTTTTAATACTTATATAAATCATAGTGTCATCGGCGAAAATCTGAATTTTGCATTTTTTGACTATGGCAGGTAAATCATTTATATATAAAATAAAAAGAGTAGTACAAAATGCATCCTTAATTTCTACCGCAGTTGTTTGTTTGTGTGTTCGTTGAAGATTTATTTAGCCTTAATGCTACAATGTCAATTTTGTGTAATTATTCACTTACACATTTTTTGAATCAATAATCTGTAATTTTACAATATTTTCTCTTAAAACTAAAATTGTATAACAACGAGGGATGTCTTTTAGGTTTTGCATATAGAAACATACTGAATCTTAACCTCACTCTTTAGTAAACCTAAATTCAAAGTCTCACAACAATTCGTGCAGTGTTCTCACTACAGTGAATTTTTAAGTGTGACCAAGTCATTAGAAAAATGGAACTCACCGAGAACGTTTTCGCGCCATAATTTATTACAACTTTCAGAGACAATTATCGCAACAAGAATACCTTGCTGAGTTACTGTCTGTTTTCGGCAACGAAGCGCCACATCAGTCGATAATTTTCCGTTGGTATGATGAATTCAAACGTGAACGGATGAGACTTGACGACGATCCCAGGGTGGGTGCCCCAAAAACGGCAGTCACCCAGGAAAACGTCGATGCTGTGTGTAAACTCATCATTGAAGATAGACATGTGACATATCGCGAGATTGAGGCGTCCTTGAAGATCTCAAAGACCTCGATTCAAAGAATTTTACATGAAGAATTAGCAGTAAGAAAATTAGTTTCTCGTTGGATACCCCACCTGTTGACTGAAGAGCAGAAAGCAGCCAGGGTTAATTGGTGTCGAAAAACGCTTGACCGTTACAATTTCGGAAACTCAAAACATGTGTGCAGCATTGTTAGTGGTGATGAATCAGGGATTTACTGTTATGAACCAGAAAATAAACGACAGTCTGCTGTTTGGGTGTTCCAAGGTGAAGAAAAGCCAACAAAAGTCATCCGTTCTCGTAGTGTTTCGAAAAAGATGGTCGCAACATTTGTGTCAAAATCGGGTCATATTGCAACAATTCCCCTTAATGAGCAAATAACTGTTAATGCGGATTGCCCCGAAAGAAGAATCATCCTCCACCAAGACAATGCAAGCTCGCACACAGCCCAAAAAACAAGGCAGTATTTAACGGAAGAAAACGTGGAATTATTGGACCATCCTCCATATAGTCCCGATCTAAGTCCTAACGATTTCTTTACTTTCCCGAAAATTAAAAACAGACTGCGTTGGTCAAAGGGTCCAGTCACCAGAAGAAGCAGTTGACGCATTCAAAAATGCCGTTTTGGATCTGCATGCAAACGAGTGGAATAAGTGCTTCGAAAATTTGTTCAAGCGCAGGCAGATGTGTATTAATCTTCGTGGAGAATACTTCGAAAAACAATAAAGTCATTTAAAACTACCTACCGTGTTGTTTTATTTCCATATGCAAAACTTAAAAGACATCCCTCGTATGCACTCATAGAGCTATTTTTTAATCTCATCTCATTTTTAATATTCGAACACTTTTTAATATATTTTGAAGTACAGACTTGCTAGTTATCCTATTATACATTTGCAGATGAAAATCTTAACTGCCTATAATTTCGTAGTTATGATAATGACTACTTAATTTTAAATGTGGTGATTACATTTTAGGTGATATCCCACTCTAAAGACCTGCAATCCGCCTGTGCCAAGATGAACAGAGCCCTGAGGGAGTTCCGAGTTCGTGGTGTGAAGACCAACATTCCTTTCCTGCTGAACGTGCTGGAGAACCAAAAATTCCTCAACGGTTCTGTAGATACCTACTTCATCGATGAGAACCCGCAGCTGTTTAATTTCCAACCCACCAAGAACCGAGCTCAGAAGCTGCTCAATTATCTAGCTCAGGTTCTGGTGAATGGACCCCAAACACCGTTGGCCACTCCGCTGAAGCCGGCTGACACGAAGCCCCATGTACCAGAAGTATCATTAGGTAACAACCCACATGATTTTGTTTTATAAAAGCCTTTTTGATAGAGTGTTGAGCTATTGCACTAACGAGTTGTTTTTTATATTTGTGTTTTTCGTTTTTGTGTTGCGGTGGTTAGTGGTTTCAGGCTAGACGACATTTCAGGCAGACTTGGCTCGAATACTGAAAGCTGGTATTCGAATGCGAATCCTGAATACTGTATTTTAAAGTATTTTAAAATGTATTTTAATACTCAAGATTCGAATACAAAGAATAAAAGGGTTCGAATACCGCTGTTCTGAATACCTGGATTCATTTTAATAATAATAATAATAATGTTCGAGTATTATTACATAATAAAATCAAAATATGAGTGAATAAGTGCAAGGACAATACTACTCGTATATCTTAGTATGTAAAATCATATACAGTGGACCTCCGGTAATCCGACAAACATTATGCAGGGCAGTGTCGGACTATCGAATTTGTCGGATTATAGAGCACTGCCTAAGACCCCCTTTAGTCCGGAATTTTTTACAAAAGAGTACCTTGTAATCCGACAAATAACATATCCAATGGTAAGATTATATATGTTATGTATATGTATGTACTTTGAAGTACAAATCATACATAGTTTATGTGTGTCGAATTTAGTAAATTAAATAACAATAGAGAGCTTACGTTTCATTATAAAATTAAGCATAAATGCACATACATATGTACCAAAATAATCAATAATTATTAATCAAAATCATTAATGAATTTTAGATTAGACAGTAGCCGGATTATCGGGGGTCCACTGTACTCACATATAAGAATATGTAGATGATAATTACAATATCAACAAAATTTGTAAATATAATAATAATAATAACAATGAGAACTATTTAACCACTTGCATATTCAGTACATTGTAACTGTAGTAACATTTTAACATGTTGGTTCGAGAAACCTTGGGTATTCACTTAGTATACAGTATTATCATCTTCCGAAGGTACTAAAAACGGAAAAATATAGTTGACGTGATTTTGGTTTATGCGTTATTTCTGTGGAGGAAGACGCTTTCCCCCTCTGGAAAATCAATTGCTCTGAGATTAGCAAATCTGCTTTGCTGCAATTCTTCAAAGTTACCGTGTGCTTTCATTTCAACATGTCACTCGAAAATGCTTCAACCATTAGCCACTGTACTATTGGTGTTGAAAATAGGTGGGACATTCTACAAAAACATACATACGAATGTTGAGCAATCAGATACAAATTTATAACTTTATATTCTTATTGTTTTGAGCTCAAAAGATGGCCACAAGGAGGTTGCACTTCCGATGCAACGCCGAGTTCTTAAAGGATAAATTAAACCCTCTGAGAAAAAAATAGTCACGAGCATGTACAACAGAGAAACTAAATGGATCGGGTCAGTCAAACAGGCCCATACAATTAGTCCATAGACATTATTTCCCTGCCCTGTCGGTAGTTATCGACCACCTGGCAACGTTGCCCCTTGTCATATCTTCATACCCAGTAGCGCCCACCGCGATGTTGGTGCAGTACGAGCAGAATAGTAAACCGCAAGGGTATGCTGGGTGGTGAGCCCAGATAGCAGAAGGAGACACGTATCGAAAACATATCTCTATCATTAAAGTCAAATTTTCGAGGAGCGTAAAAAAATAGGATATACCCTCCCCCACCCATTACTACTCCCAGATTTCTTAAACGATAAAAATAATTATGATCCTCTGAAACAGCAAAAAACGAAGTTTGATCGATTTCTGTTTTTTTTTTGTGTGCTTTTATCCCTAGCTCCGTCGGCAATTAACGAATTTCCAAAACAACAAAGCTTTTTCGGCATGAAGTGAAAATTTTATCCAAATGACTGAAATGAGTGACAATAGTTTTTCGTGATGTTTAGAAATTTTGTACGATTACAGCAGTGACAGAGGAAGAAAAATGTCTTAGCTGCAGCTCATTAAATTCTTCATTATTTAAAAAAAAATCTACTCCAAAATGTCTCACCTTTTTCACACACCACTTCGCTGTATACTTATTTGCATGCACTGTTTTGTTTATGATTTGTTTTGTTTCAGTATACTTGTAGTATTTAATTTTTTTTAACAGAGTACCTCGCCAAGTCTCCGGAACAGGATCCAAGTTAGTATCGTTTTATTATTTTTATTTTAACATTTGTATATCAATTTAGGTAGTTTGTATATATGTACATATTCATGTAAAACTAATATAATAACTGTCCATCCACGAAATAGGAATTTGAATATTTCGACAGTTGAACTGCTTTTGCTCGTGCAGCTAAAAAAATTATATTTAGATCAAATTACGCCTCAAATAAACTCAAAAAGATGGGACAATTTAAAACCTTCTAAAAATAGTGCTTAGCTTCAATTGTATGTATGATGCTTAGCTGAATTGGAATTTAGTGTTAAACTTGTTTATTTGTTTAAACTATTTGCATTGGTAACAAAACCCAATATCTGCTTGTGTAGTAATAATTTTGCTAAAAATAGATCATTAAAAAAGGCTTAAAACCAAAATAGGTACTCGAAAAACGATCTACATACTGGTGACTCATAAATCTGGAAACGGTGAAATATTTCGGGAAGAATCCGAGAAATTTTCACCAAATTTTGAACAGAGACATAACCGATCATTCCCGATGAGATAGTAATCGCTGCGTTATTGTCAGACTTAAGAGCTTCTTGAGAATAATTCTACTTTTTAAATTCAAATGCGAGGTAAATGTTTTATTCATTTATACAGGGTGTCCGCAAAGTTGGGGTTTTCCTTTACACGACGTGTAGATCTTGAAAACATAAGCAATTTTTCTTAGTACCATATACACCAATGTCTTAAGGGAACCGAGATAAAGGGCTCTGCAACATCAAAAATATCTGAATACCGTCCTGTAGCCGCGACATCCCCGAGTGGTACTAGGACACTAGCTCAACGCGACGACAGAAGTGGGTCGGAGTCAGTGTGTCAGGTCAGTATGCAACCTTCAACAGACGGTTACGGTCACGCGTGTAGAGGTAATCGCGTAGACGAGAATCCCTCAACAAGCACTAGAGACGTGGCTAGAGAAGTGCAAGTATCAAAAACTAAAGTGTGGCAAACGCTGCGTGAAGAGGAGCTGTATCCGTTTCACGTCCAACGTGTACAAGCCCTTCAACCTGACGATTTTCCAGCAAGAGGGCGGTTTTGTGAGTGGTTGTTGCATCGACATGACAATAATCCGGACTTTTTGAAGTGCATATTGGTGACAGACGAATCTACGTTCCGGCGTAATGGGGTGAATAACTTTCGCAACACTCATGTTTGGTCAGTAGAAAATCCGCACGCTGTCCGTCGGGCACATTTTCAACAAACATTTTCGGTGAATGTTTGGGCTGGCATGGTGAACGGTATGCTCATTGGACCATTTATTCTCCCAAATCGATTGGACGGGATGCAATACCTAGACTTTTTACGCAACATTTTGCCTTCCTTGTTTGCCTGCGTCTGCTCGGTAGCGCATCAGCTGATTTTATTTTCTGTTGAAGCGGTATGATTTCGGGCAGAGACGTACTTAGCCCTTCTCGTCAACTGGAGAGTGAGTACTTTTTCCTTTATTTTTTCTAACTTGGTCGCCCTCGTTTCACTACACATTACCTTTGTTATTTCAAGGGTAGTTGTTTCTGAAAAGGAAAACCTCAACTTTGCGGACACCCTGTATTAATCCTCTAAAGCCCCTGAGTATAACGACCAAGTATCTGGTATCCAACTTACTACAATTATCAAATTTTGAACAAATGGGAAAATCATTCCAGATTACACAAGTAGAGACCAAGTCGTTGCCAGACCATTTAGCTAGAAATTACTACTAGTACTATGGAATAGTGCCGCTCTAGCATCAAAATAAAACATCTAATCTACTTACGAAGTTATTGCAACGTAATCAAATGTTTCAAAGTATATCGAAAATTATTCAACAGGCATCCACAAATCTTAAACAGACGAACAACAGAACTTTTCCGATCAGTTTTTAGTAATTACACTCTTGCCAGATCTATCATTAATTTGGAGAACATGCTATTTTGCGCTATGTTATATCTTCATATAAGTATAGGTATATCCTGCAGTCATGTTAAAACATAGGTTATACTGTGATGTACCAGGGGTTAATATCTGGCAATAAAAAAAATACACTCCAATTTAAAAAAGTACTGTTGCTTCCGAAAATCGGGCAAACACGCAGTTATTATCTTGCGGTCGGGTATGTCGGATATCTTACTGATTTAAATTTCGTGGATATCCATCTATCACTTCTCAAGATATTCGACTATTTGCAGTCTTTCAACTTTGTATCCATATCTCTGGATGGAGTCCTTGTATTTAGAGGGGAGTGATAGAGTATACCTCAATAAAAAAATATACCGTTGGATTCAAATTTAAAACACGTGTCTCCATGTTCAAAATGTGGTGAATGTCGGTTCAGTACTTCCCAGGACATTTAACCGCTTCCAGATTTTTGAACAACCATGTATAGTGATACCAAATCTGCAAAACTACGTATATCCTCCTATACTCGAATACCGAAACGGAAGAGAACAGCAAGAAGGATCGCACGCCACTGGCCAGCGCCGCATCTCCTTCAATGCGACTTTGTCAATTCAGAGGAACGCCGCAACTGCAGTAGCGTGCGATATATTCCATTTCGGTATAGAAGTAAGCAAAAGTCCGATCCCACGTAAATTCTTGGTTAATTCAGAATGTAACATGTATCTCAGCATCTTGAATACATAGACACGCCAATGCCTGGTAAGCGAAAATTATTTTGCGATACATCTCGTATTCTGAATTAATCAAGGACTGAAGTGTGTTCAGGCTCTAATGAAAAATTTTCTGAACAGACGTCCAACCTCCGAAAGGATTCCGTCAAATCTACAAAGAACAAGGTCCAGAAGCCTTCGCAAAAGCCGTCCGCAACCACAAAGGTCTATTGTTGATGGACACTACCTTCAGAGATGCCCATCAATCACTGTTGGCGACCAGAGTCAGAACTCATGATTTGCTCAAAATTTCGCCTTTCGTCACTCATACATTCAGTCAGCTGTATTCTATGGAGAACTGGGGTGGTGCTACTTTCGATGTGGCACTGAGGTGAGTAACCTTGAGTTATTAAAAAGTCGTAGTTATTATGTGCGTGTGCAATCATTGAAAAATAGTCCCTAACCATATGAGAACGCCAGAAAAAATAAATAGTTATTTTAGTTCTATTTTTAGTAGCAATGCAATTTCCTCTGCGGGAACAATTCATTTTTACGAGCCACATTATTATACTCGGCATAGATTTAATTTCAAACCGAAAGATTTTCAAGATTTGGGCGCAAGAGTTATATCTCGAAAATCAAAAGCCTTGATTAAATACCTCTTAGGATGTTGAAACTCTGTTTCCATGTCACATTATACATATATCATAAACAAGTATTTGGAACAAAAATTATTTCCCCAATCATGGAAACAAGCTTTAGGGTCGTATCGTCAGTCGTTCCCACAATTGTAGGGCGCCTTCATGGCCTCCTTGACTTTCATAGCCTTTTCTAGCCTTCAAATACGCTGGGATATTTCTAGATTTCTACTGTTCCGTATCAGCGTCAACGTTCTCCTGTTTGGAAGCTATATTTTCTTTTTGAATTGTAGGAAATTTCAGGCCGATATATATCAAAAGAATCAAAAATTTGATGCAAACAGATATTTGTAACATAACCTCAAAATAGAGCGCTGACACGGAACAGTAGAAAAATATGAAAATCAATGAGGCAATGAAAGAATCCTACAATAATTGTAAGAGCGACTGACGATACGGCCCTTATTCAGACCAATAGCTAAAAATAACTCACTTCTTATTCTGATGTAAGACCATAAGCAGCCTAATCGAAAGTTATTAGAGAAAGTGATATGCATACATATAAATCATTACATTGTAGAATGAGCATTCTGAAATACTACCAGCTAAGCAAGATGGGTTCAGGAAAGAAGACAATACTGCAAGAGCGTTATTAGACTTTACAGATGACATCGTAAAATCTTGGGATATTGCCAAATCATTTGACACGATGAATCATTCAATTCTCATAGCTAAATTTAGATATTATAGTTTTTCTGACTCTTCAAATAGTATGATGAGTAACGTTATCAGAAACAGATCGCAAAAGGTGTTATTGATATTAACCCATCACTAGAAACTTCAATATCCTCGGGAGTGTCACAAGGAACAGTACTTGGGCCACTCCTTTCTATTATTTATATAGGAAAGCTGTACCCTAGACATGTACTTCTATAGGGCCTCTATAACGTAATGTTGAAATCTCCAATTTATGTAATGTGCAGTCTGATGAACTCTATTTGTGATCTGTGCGGTATTTATAACGACAGCTGTAAATCAATCATAAATTGCTATAAGTCATCGATTGTTATGTGAGCTTACTTAGGTTCATTGATGCCAAGTTTCATTTTTCAATGTGTCTCTTTATTTTCTTTTTGTTAATGTACTCGTATTTGAGCTTTTCCTGTAATTGGGTTTTACCTGTAGGAAATATGAAATATAAATACAGAAATAACATATATACAGGGTGGACCATAGTAGTGTTGGCGATTTAAATCTTAAATTTCGCGGGGTGCGGGTTCGGGGGCAGGGGGATAAGCTGTTAGCCGCGCCGTTGCCTGAAAATTTAGTCGCCATGGAGCCGTACACGGAAGCGCAGCGTGCACTTTGTGTCCGAGCATATTATGAAAACAATAAATCGGTTATTACTGCACGATGTTTGTATCGACATGAACACGATTTAAGCGATTTAAGAAAAGTTCCAAGCGCCAATGTGATGCTGAAATAGATCAGAATGTTCGAAACAACCGGCTCGTCAGTAGCAACAGCTCATGGTCGTCCAGTTTCTGTAAGATCAGCCGACAATGTAGAGCGTGTTCGTGTTTCAGTTCAGCGAAATCCGCAACAGTCAACACATGAGAGAAGTCAGACTTTGGAATTTTGAAGCGGGATTTGCATTTGAAGGCTTATAAGATTCAACTAGTCCGAGAATTAAAACCAGATGATGCCAATAGCCGACTTAACTTTGTCAATTTTCACCTCAATGGCCATATTAATAACCAAAATTGTCGGTTCAGGTCCGAAACTAGTCCCCGACGCTTGCATGAACGTCCACTTCACAGTCGTGTGGGCTGGAATTACGTCAACTGGTGTTATTGGACCGTACTTTTTTGAAGACGAAAGAGGGCAAGCGATGACAGTTAAAGCTAATATTATTGCAATACGATAACAGACTTTTCGATGCCAGCTTTGCAAGAACTGCAAGGCAATACCTCTAGAATGTGGTTTCAACAAGATGGGGCCCCATGTCATACAGCTAGGGTATCTATAGAGCTGCTGAAAAATGTCCTTCCCGGAAAACTCATTTTGAAAAGGGGGGATATTGAATGGCCACCACGTAGCCCCGATCTTTCTCCATGCGATTATTTCCTATGGGGCTACCTCAAATCGGTGGTCTACGACAATAATCCAACTAATTTAGTACAGCTGAAGAGAAATATTGTTCAGGAAAGTAACATAGTACCGAGAACAATTTTTCAACGAGTTTTCCAAAATCTGCACCTTCGGTTTCAGGAGTTCCAAGTAGCCCAAGGAAGTCATTTGAACAAAATTATGTTTAAGTCTTATAAATTCCTATCTTTCTACTTTCTAAAAATACATTTATTTTTCTTTTATATTGCGTAGTTATTTTTTAATTGAATATTGAAATTGTCTACAACTTTATGGCCCACCCTATATATATATATATATATACGTGAGCAGTAGTCATCGCCATTGCCAACGACCAGATGGGCAAAAAATACAATTATTTGTTAATTCTGAAATTGGAAAACTTTTTAGGCTTTAGTTAACTCTATTTTTTGCTAGCATCATAATTGTGTTTTCAGCTCCTGATGAAGGCTCCATAGAGAATTGCCGAAAGCTAGAGATTATCGTCAAAAGAGTTAACTAAAGCCTAAAAAGTTTGCTAATTTCCCAAATTAACAATTAATTGTACATATATATATATATATACAACTTTGAAGTTGAGTCATTAATTTTCAGATAATGATTGTAGAAGGAAGATAAACCAAAATATGTGTGTAAAAATAAAAAAATTTTTTTTTTTTTTAACTTGTTTTATAAAGTATCCTCCCGACAAGTATTTCAGTGCGGACCTGTATTTGATCGTGAGGTCTTGGAGCACCGGCATGCAGTCCCCTGTGAGGTCTTAAGTCACCTGATTCACGAGCCCGTTGTACTACATTAACAAAGGCACGAGGGGTTGGTTGCCCTCGATTGGGAAACCGATCCGCATAAATATGTGCCATTTTTTATTTCGTTTGAGTCACGCAGCAAACACCACTATTCACTCACGCGTTGCCGACTGACACAGACTGAATAAAAACATCGTGATCAGCGTTTCAAATTCTTTCACTTTTTTGTTTCCGATGCGATGAACCGATAAGGCGGAGTATATCCGTTGTCGCCAAACACGAGCAAATAATATTATTATTGAGACAGGGTGGTACTCAAACTTCTAAAGGGCTATAACTTTGTTACTTTAATTTTACCACAAAAATGTTAAAGGAAAAAATGACTCAACTTCGAAGTCACCCTGTATATATATATATATATATATATACAGGGTGACTTCGAAGTTGAGTCATTAATTTTCAGATAATGATTGTAGAAGGAAGATAAACCAAAATATGTGTGTAAAAATAAAAAAAAAAATAAAAAAAAAATTTTTACCTTGTTTTATAAAGTATCCTCCCGACAAGTATTTCAGTGCGGACCTGTATTTGATCGTGAGGTCCCCTGTGAGGTCTTAAGTCACTTGATTCACGAGCCCGTTGTACTACATTAACAAAGGCACGAGGGGTTGGTTGCACTCGATTGGGAAACCGATCCGCATAAACATGTGCCATTTTTTATTTCGTTTGAGCCACGCAACAGACACTATTCACACGCCTTACCGACTGTCACTGACTGTATGTATAACTGAACTGAAGAAAATAATTGTAAAACATCGTTCCAAATTCTTTCGCTTTTTTGTTTCCGATGCGATGAACCGAGGCGGATTATATCCGTTGTTGCCAAACACGAGCACATGATATTACGAGTATTATTGAACAGGTCGGTACTCAAACTTCCAAAGGGCTATAACTTTGTTACTTTAATTTTACCAGAAAAATGGTAAAGGAAAAAACATTTCTTTTGATCAGATCTACTCACTGTTAAAATATATATATATATACAGGGTGACTTCGAAGTTGAGTCATTTATTTTAACAGTGAGTAGATCTGATCAAAAGAAATGTTTTTTTCCTTTACCATTTTTCTGGTAAAATTAAAGTAACAAAGTTATAGCCCTTTGGAAGTTTGAGTACCGCCCTGTCTCAATAATAATATCATGTACTCGTGTTTGGCAACAACGGATATAATCCGCCTTACCGGTTCATCGCATCGGAAACAAAAAAGCGAAAGAATTTGGAACGATGTTTTGCAATTAAGTATTTTATTCAGTTCAGTTATACATACAGTCAGAGTCTGTCGGTTAGCGTGTGAATAGTGTCTGTTGCGTGGCTCAAACGAAATAAAAAATGGCACATGTTTATGCGGAGCGGTTTCCCAATCGAGTGCAACCAACCCCTCGTGCCTTTGTTAATGTAGTACAACGGGCTCGTGAATCAGGTGACTTAAGACCTCACAGGGGACCTCACGATCAAATACAGGTCCGCACTGAAATACTTGTCGGGAGGATACTTTATAAAACAAGGTAAAAATTTGTTTTTACTTTTTTTTTATTTTTACACACATATTCTGGTTTATCTTCCTTCTACAATCATTATCTGAAAATTAATGACTCAACTTCAAAGTCACCCTGTATATATATGAGATTGTTGATGTCGGAATTCTTCATTTGGGTTCTGCGATTTTTTATATAAGCATGTATTTAATATTGACAGATATCTGAGTAATCTAATGGTAATTTAAAAAAAATGCTAATTATGCATAGCTATATATTTCTTAATGATTCATAGACGTATTATTCAGTGAGACTAGCGATTGACATTGCATTATTCTGTAAATAGCTCAGCGCTGAGCGCTATCCGACCTCAAAAATGGTTAATTGTATGAATGTTTGAAATAAAAGTTGTAGAGAATTGTGTTCTCTCTGCTTTCCTCTTGTGGCATATAAATTTGTTCTCAACTCATGTGAATAAATTATTATTATTATTTATAATATACGTAATGCATACAGATCGCATTAAACTCACATGAAGCGAGATCTTTGCAAAAAAACTATTTTTGTGACATTTGACCTTTGATATCTTAAAATGCGGATACTAGATTTTCTTACACTAAAATGAGAAAATAGACTTGGTTAAACATTCAACTCCATGCTTTACCGAACATTGTAATTAATTTTATAAATAACCTCGTTCCCTTATTTTTAGGTTTTTGCACGAATGTCCATGGGAACGACTTGAAGAGATGCGAAAACTTATTCCAAACATTCCATTCCAAATGTTGTTGAGAGGTGCTAACGCTGTTGGGTACACGAATTATCCTGATAACGTTGTCTTTAAATTTTGCGAATTAGCTGTAAGTAGTTTGACATATACCGGGCAAATGGAATTAACGGATCTGAAAATAGCCCAGATTGAGCTACTCTGCACTATTTTACATATTAAAACGTAACAACAAATAGCTATTAATCTTTACACGATTTACCGGATAATCACATCCATTGCATTAGTATGATTAGTTAACAACAACTTGAGAGAAAGAAAAAATGGGTGATGCGCCTCTTCTCCAACTTTCAAGATCAACTGTTAAAAATAAGTTCAATCCACGCCACTGCTCCTTTGTTAGTTCAAGCAGCTTGATGCCCCATCTGGCGACATTGAAATGAAACAAACCGGAACGGTAAGGTATCTCCAATCGATTTCTAGATCCACCACGCCACCTCGTGGGCACTTACCACGGTACCACCGCGCGAGTAACATGGATACGATTTATATACCTTACCAATTCAGCTTGTGACAGTTGAACGCCGCTAGATGGGGCATCAAGCAGCTTGACAGAACAAAGAAACAGTGGCGTGGGTAGGATTGAATTTGCCTCTAACATTGGACCCTGAAAGTTGGTTTACAGCCAGTGCTATAGACTAATTTATTATGTCATCTCGACGGAATGGAGGAATTGTTCTTCATATAGCAACTAATGAGTTTGTGACGATCTATAGTGTATTCACACCCAAGATAGAATGGATGCGTGATTGCCAAAAGCAAGGACGGCGTACAGGGCCGCATTCAGGGCTACCTCCGAATGATGGACTACCACCAACGTGTTGTAAAACAAAGATGACAGTATTTAACAGAAACAGAAACTTAACAAATTATTCAAATACACTTAATAACAACAACAGCAACAACCAAGCAAGGTGAATTCGAAAACACGAGCACGCAGTGATACACGCGACGGACGGTGGCCTGAGTGCAACTCTGCCTGCCCTGCCCCTGCCCCGCGCATTATTCCGCCAGGCGACGGCTTGAAATTTAATGGCGAATTGACCAATAAGAGGCGTTGTCCCCACCTGTTACCGAGAGATTACGCGCTAAATGTTATTATTTACATCTCATCTTGAATTTGGATTCAATTTAGATACCCCTTCGTCAAGTGACAGTGATCTACCTCATACTGCTTCGTGTGTTATAGTGATGCTAACACTATTGATGTTTGACTTGTTTTGCAAAAGCAATCAGAAGCTGTAATGATCATGAATACCGTTAAAGTCAGCAAAGGATTAGATTAAATTTATATTTAGTGAAGTTAGTTCTAATATGCTAATGAATGTCACAAGGTTCACTATTACCTATAACCCAAAATTAACACGAGAGGGTTTTTAAGTAGAGGTCAGAATTTCTTGAAGTAAAAAAAATACATAGATGGTAGTGCATATTAGTTCACTGAGATTTTTTCTTATTTTAGGTACAAACAGGTATGGATGTCTTCCGTGTGTTCGATTCCTTGAACTACCTGCCAAATCTAATAGTTGGTATGGAGGCTGCCGGTAAAGCTGGAGGAATCGTAGAAGCTGCCATTTCGTACTCGGGCGATGTCAGTAACCCCAACAAGAAGAAGTATGATCTGAACTACTATCTGAAAATAGCTGATGAGCTTGTTAAAGCTGGTACTCACGTTTTGGCCATCAAAGATATGGCTGGCTTACTAAAACCCATGGCAGCAAGGTAAGCGCAACTTACTCAACTATAGCGATTTCTATTGTAACAGAAACATCGTTTTTACTGTTCAAATCTAATTTATCACACTAACACTGATTAAATAGTTTAGGACGAACTTATAACCTCGTCAACTGGACTATCGGTCGTTGATTCATCGGACGCTGTCCGTTCACCGCCATCTCTACCTATATTTATTCCCCTGTCGACATGTCGAGAAATACTCCAGCATTTTTCAGACCGAGTCGCGAACCTCGAACGGCGACCGAAGCTCACGCACAGTCGCGTAACTCTGGTTGCCTAGGAGTCGGAGTTTCCTGACACCTGTCGAATCTTCTAGTCGGTGACATTCAAGTGAATCTAGTGTCTTTTTCAACACACCATTAAAAACTACGCCTGTAATGAAATACGAATCCCGAAACAAATAAAATAGTAGTACCTTTCTAAATTTGATGAGAATCACCACTTTTGATCAAAAAAGCTCGTTCAAATCGATCGATCCGTTTAGAAGATTTTGCGTCGCGGGTTAAAAATCGTACTGAAGTTTTAAATAACTCGCCCGATTTGCGCGACGCTACCCACCATGCGAACGACTGAGTATGCCGCATGCTGTCAGTTCTCTGTCTGAGAATGACTATAAAAAATACTACCGGTCTTCCAGAGAAAGGTCTTTAAGCAATTTCAATTTTGTTTTCAGGATGTTAATAGGCGCTCTTCGTGAAAAATATCCCGATCTTCCAATTCACATCCACACTCACGACACCAGTGGAAATGGCGTAGCTTCAATGTTGGCTTGCGCTGAAGCTGGAGCTGATGTGGTTGATGTAGCTGTCGATTCTATGTCAGGATTGACCAGTCAACCCAGTATGGGTGCTGTCGTCGCTAGTTTACACGGTAGGCCCATACTACGGGAGTCTTCATATAAATATGTGTCCCATAATGTCTAGTTTTCCAGATACAGCGTGTCAAGGTTATATAAAAGTTTTGTTTTTTATTAGCATCTCAAAGATCCTCTTGTCGGTTTTGTTGAATTTTGGCAGTGTTGTTCATTGCAATCAGACGCTAATGTAGTCCTAACTATAAGGTCTCACGAACAATATTAACAAAAGAATGATTGACTTTTTTAAAAAGTATATCTTGTCTTCGGATTGAGTAGCTAATGATGCAAATCTCTTCATATCTCCTCATGTTTTACTTGGTTTTCGAGAAATTAGAAAATAAAATCAACCTCATGAAATATGGCTTATAAATAAATATTATGCGGCGATCAAAATAAATTTTATTCTATTAATTATTGAACATGTAATGAAGTTGTTTTTATTTTTTTTAATCAAAATCGAAGTGAGATAGGAAGAGATACCGAGATACAAAAAGCAGTATCTTCAAATGCTTAGTTGAACAAACAAAATTTTTTAAAAGTCAGTGTCAATATCATTCGTGAGACTGTCCCCAAGACGTCACTGTTAGTTAGTTGTCTCTCAGCGTCTCATTGTAATGAACAACACTGTCATAATTTAACAGAATCGGCATACGGATCTTTGAGATATTAATAAAAAAGCATTTTTTCTAACTTTGTATCTTGGAAACCAGACTTTTTAGGACAGATGTTTATATAAACTTTTCTACTTAAATTTTGATCAGGAATATGGCCTTTTAACTACGACCTATCATTGAATAACACCCTATATATTCTTGGCTTCTTTCACTTTTCAATATACATAAACAAGATACATTGCCCCTGCTCTATTTGTCATAATTTTCTCGCAGATTCAAATTCAAATTCTTTTTCCTTTTGACAAATACTAGTAAAGGAAATAATATATAATAAAATGCGATATAGGGTATAAATAAAATACAAACACACCTACATACATAAAATGATAAACAAACAACTATATACAAACAAATTCAGACACCAAATAAAAACATTTATTAAATAAAAGCCGATTCAACTCTGCTTTAAAAGACCTCAAATTTTATCACAGCACTTGACACTTACAGGTAACATGTTAAAAACTTTTGGGCCTAAAACATTCGGCGACCTACTACTATCAAATTTGGAATATAGAACAAGAATCCGTTTTTTTTTTTTTTCGCTGGGTATTAATAGTATATATGTACGAGCCCCTTTCCGCTTCAGTTGGCCCACTTCAAGATTTGTACCAAAATATGCCTTTATAAACTAAATAAACATGACGAAACTATTTACTTCTAAAACAATTTATTTTCTCGAGAACATTTTAGATACACTCATTGGGTAACATCACAATTCTTTGGGGCATAGTGTTAACCAAGTTTTGGCAAAAATTTGGTGTAAAACAATCCCATATTTCTTGAAGCTTTTGTCTCAGTTCGGTGATTGTACGAGCAGGATGTTTTCCTAGAACCTTTTTCATCTCGTGCCACAAATTTTCAATAGAAACCCATTTCAAAAATGGTACCTTATTTTCTTCCAACCATGTTATAGCCTTTTTTGAGGTATGGCACGCTGCACCATCTTGCTGAAACACAAAATCTTGGCCGGATGTCAAACATTCTTCCATTACTGGTAAAAGCGATTCTTCTAAAATTGCCAAATATTTACCATCAATAAAATGAAGTTTTCCTACTCCTTTTGATGACATACTGCCATAGACCATAATGGATGCTGGAAATTTCACTTTTCTCTTCAGACAGTCAACATGAAATGCTTCATTTTTTTTGCGAATAACTCTACTGCGACTGTCACCAACACAAACTTCGAATCGGGCCTCATCACTCCATTGTATTGCACACCATTGTTGAGGTGTCCATTGTCTATGTTTTTTAGCCCATCTAAGCCGATTTTTCTTTTGCAGTGGAGTTAATAGTGGCTTTTCTTTGGCCTATAAACAAGTTGTGGTTTTTACTTCACTTTTTTTATAAGAAAACTTACTTCGCAAGTGCTAAATCCCAGTTTGTGGGCCTCTTTATGAGTTGTGGACCTCGAAATTAATTGCAAATAATTGGCACGCCTGTTTTTCACGATTATTCTTCTTAATGCTCTTCGGTCGGCATTTGTGATATTACTTTTTTTCACATATCGTGGCTTAATATTAACTGAACCAGTTACGTTATATCTTCTAACAATATTTCTCATACTGTACCGCGATAAGTCTAACAAAGTTGCAATTTCTGAGTTTGATTTCCCAGAATTAAAAAATTTAATTATCAGTAACCGAATTTTCTCACTAATAACCTTTCATCTACCCATTTTGAAAACCTTAACTACCCAAAACTATTTGAAACGTATTCTGACAGCTGTGACTAATAAAAACAATTGTCATGGGTTTTATTTTTCACAGCCAGCTATGCGTTATAGACTTATTTTGCATTGAAATGAAAATAGGTTGATATGCTGTAATTGCAGCATGTGTTATTTTTATGCTGCAAATTTGATTACGGAGTGATAAAGTTGGTGTTTTCTACTATATATTATCAAAATATTCATTGTTAATATTTTAAACCTATATCACCCTGCTACATTTTTATTATTTGTGTTTGATAAGAAAAAAACTAAGATTTCAATAGTTGGGCCAACTGAAGAGGGAAGGGGCTCTACATCACTGTTAATCCGGAAACGCTGTCTATTTAAAAATGTATACACATACAGTTCAAAAATAAAAAGTGATGCCACGGTTAAAATCTGATATTCCCTACAAATGTCCTTACCGCTAGCGAAGGGTTATTCTGGCTATGCACCGTATTATTCTTTTCTGGCTCAAAAATACATTTTGTGCGTGTGTAGAATATTCGCAGAAACACACTCCGTACATCAGCCACGACTCAACCTGAGCTCAATCTAAGCAATGGTGGTCAATTAAAAACAAACAGTACTTAAGTTTTTGAATAAATAGGACTGACTATTTGGCTTCCTTGATAAATGGTTTTTGACTTTAATTTTGTATTTTGGCTGATTTCCTTGGGAGTGTCTGTTAGTTTTAGTTTCAAAGACGTCACCCGTTTTGGTCTTAAGAACGCTGTTTCACAGGCACTAGACATACTGACAAAGTGAATTTAGCAATTGGAGAACATGTTTTAATATGTTTCACATATAATGTAAATAAATTGATTTTGGTGTTATTAACGGTATATAAACGTGATTTTTTATAGGTTCACCACTTGATACTGGCTTCAAACTAAATGAAATCTCAGAGTATTCAGCATATTGGGAACAAACCAGGACCCTGTATGCACCATTCGAATGTACCACGACGATGAAGAGCGGAAACGCTGACGTATACACAAATGAAATTCCTGGAGGACAGTACACCAACTTACAGTTCCAGGCTTATTCGCTAGGTTAGTATCATTTGCTTTTCATGTTTTTATCAGTGCTTACTGATAGGCCGTGCATTTCTGAATCAAAATTAGTGGAAAAAATCATATAAACATGCGTCATGAAAAGTCTTGTTTCCAAGATACTGAGTGTCAGAGTTTCAAAAGGAATGACACTAAACAGTGATAGAAAACATAATAATGGAACTTTTATATGGCATTATCTTCTTTTAAGGATCTTAGAGAATCAAATCAGCCGCTTATATTGGGTTTTACCAAATTTTAGTAGAAAAGTTCATATAAACATGCGTCATAAGAAGTCTAGTCTCCAACAAGACTTGATTATTATCATCTGTTTTATCAGCCTAAATTTCCTTAAGGTCCAAGAACTAAACTTAACATCACAATAGAAGAACGCTGACACGGAACAGTAGAAAACTAGAAATAACCCAATCTTTCTCAATGAGAGAAAACACTATGAAAATCAAGGAGGCCATAAAGGCGTTCTACAATTGTAGGAACCACTGACCATACGGCCCTAATACTATAGCTATCATGTGTGACTTAACAAAAGCATTTGATTGTGTCAGTTCCCATATACTAATGAAAAAACTCGAATAATATAGCATAAAACATACGTAGCTAGCGCTACTTTGCTCGTATTTGTCAAATAGAAACCAGTTTGTAGGCTTTGAGGTCACACTCCTCTGACCTTTTGGATATTTGCAACGGGGTACCGCAGGGATCAGTACTTGGCCTCCTGTTATTTCTAATATTTATAAATGACCTGCCCTCGGGTATTGATAACGGGGGTCCTGCTTCCTATTCGCAGACGTTACCACCTTGCTGTCTATACTTGACCATAACGCGGGTGTAGATAGTCTGGAACAAACCAAAAGATGGTTTTTACCCAACAAGTTATCGCTAAATGAGAACAAGACATATCATAATACATTTTCCTCTGTTAAGTGGGTTGTGATATCTAGTAGTAGTAGAAAGATTTATTTAACACATTTGGCTACATATACAGAACAATTGTAAACAACTTAGAACTAGTAAATTCAAGCCATATGGTGTATGATGTAAATGCTGGGCAACCTATAATTGTAGATTTAACAAGTGATTTCTCAATTTCACTTTAAATTTTGTCAAAGTTTTCTGGTCTTTTATCTCCGAGTATAATTTATTATATTCAATCAACCCTTGATGGAATACAGATTTGTAGCATATGTTATACTTTTTGGTCATTAAATGGAAGTCATCTTTATTTCTGGTATTATGTAAATGATGGTCGACATTTGATGGTGTTAAATTAGTTAGACTTGATGGAAATATATTATTTTTTACTTTATAAATGAATATCATTACAAGATATTTGATAAAATTATTTACATTGAGCCATTTTAATTTGCTAAGCATTTCCCTAATTGGAGTATATTTATCTTTATTTGGTATTATTCTCATGCACTTATTTTGTAAAATTTGCAGTCTTTCAAAAATGGAATTATTTGCTAAATGTAGAATAGTCGAACAGTACAAGAAATTTGGAAGAATGATGGTATTATAGATAATTTTTCTGTTATATGAACTCAGACATCCAGAAACTCTCGATAAATATCCCACTTTACTACTAATCTTATTTATAACTTTTTCATAATGAATATCAAAAATTAATCGAGAGTCAACAAAAACTCCCAGGTATTTAAAATTTTCTACGAATTCAATATCTTCACCATCAATATTCAGTTGAACATTTGTACATTGTTTTTTTCCGATTAACAAGGTTTTCGTTTTACTTGCATTTAATTTTAGTCTGTTAGATGCTAACCATTTTGAGACAAGCTTCAAGTCTTCAATTATATAAGAGATACCAGACTGAATATTTTTAGTACTTATATAAATCATAGTGTCATCGGCGAAAATTTGAATTTTTCATTTTTTGACTATGGCAGGTAAATCATTTATGTATAAAATAAAAAGAAGTGGTCCCAGGATACTGCCCTGTGGAACACCCAACGTATTTTCAATTTTTGATGAAATAGTGTCATTAACTTTTGTAACTTGCATCATTTTAGACAAATAATTTCTAAACCAATCTAAAACACTTCCTGTTATACCATATGCCTTCAATTTACCTAACAAAATATCTCTATCAATCGTTTCAAATGCCCTCTTCAAATCCTAAAATACTGCTATGACAACTTCTTCTGAGTCTATGGCTCTTCTCCAATTCTCAGTTACCAACTGGAAAGCTGTTTCTGTGGAATATTTTTTTCGAAAGCCTGCTTGCGCCTCCACTAAAATTTTGTTTTCTTCTATAAACTGCATTAATTGGTCATGCACTATGGACTCTAATAATTTTTTAATGTCTGGTAACACATTTACTGGTCTCATATCGCTGCATCTTTTAGAATTTTTTATTTTGGGAACTGGTGTTATTGTAGAGCATTTCAAATTTTCAGGGAAAGAACTGCTTCTCAGTGAACAATTGATCCAATTTAATACAGGATATACCAAAATTTCGAAACAGTTTTTCAGCACGTTTTTAGTAGTCATTTCGTTGTTATTTGATTTTAAACTGTTTACTTTTTTTCTTAGATAATTCAATGATACGCTGTGAAATTTTGAAAGTGTATGCAACATTTCCCCCTGGAAACTGATTTTCATATAGTCAGGTGCAGCATTGGCAGTACCTACAATATCAACAATACTTTCCACAAAATATTCATTTAGTTTGTTTGCAATCACCAAAGAATTTGTTTCGGTACCGTTTTCGAATTGAACTTGATTTACACAATCATGCGGCTTCGAATTGATCAGTCTTTTTAAAGTCTTCCACATCTTTACACTGTCGCACTTGTTATTATCGACCTGTTTATCGTAGAATTTTCTTTTTTCTTCTCTAATTAGATATACACATTTATTCCTAAGAGTTTTATATACCTCCCAATCATCATTTGATTTTGTGAATATACATTTATTGTATTGTTTGTCTCTCAAATTTTGAGCTGCCTTAATATTCTTGTTATACCAGGGTGTATTTTTTGTCGAGCAAATCACTTTTTTATCAGTTGCAAGATCTAAACAAGTTTTTATATTTCCTATTATGTTGTCATATATTTTTTCCATATTCTCACCAAAATTCCAATAGCAGCCAGCAAGTTCTCGTTCAAGTTTTTCGTACTTAATAGTATTTACGATTTTCTTAATTTTTGTATCAGAAAAATGCCCTACCAAGGGCAGCATTGTCCAACTGTGATCGCTAACTTTAGGTGTATGTACACCTTTAATCCCTGCACATTCGAAATTTACAATAACAAGATCTAACAAAGTCTCTGATAATGATGTTATTCTGGTACTCTCTTCAATTTTTTGCTTGAACCCATAGTTGTTTATGGTTTCTTTCAATTTTCTTGTTTTCATGCTTTTACCATAATAATTTAAATTAAAATCACCTAAAAGTATTATATTGTTTCTAAAATTCCACATTTCTTCGCATTTTTCTTCAAAAAACGTTAAAAATGTATCTGCATCACTGTTTGGTGAACGGTAAAAAGTACAAAGATCATAACGTTTCCCAAATAATTTGAACTGTATATGTGCATACCAGTATGCATAGTCTAAAGTGGTACAATCGAATAATGTGATCTGTATTTTGTGGTAAACATAAATCACTACACCTCCAGTATGTCTGGAGTTGGAGTTGCATCTGTAGGTTTTATAATTAGTAATTTGTAATTCACCATCAGTGATGTCTTCTGTAGCATGTGTTTCGGTAAGACATAATACAAGTGGTTTTCTCCATCTTAAAAACTGTTGAACTTCATCTATATTATTCAGGACTCCTTGTATGTTTAAATGGTATATTGAGTTATATTCATCACTTACAGATTTAGCCACGTCTTGCAAATCTGAGCTTAGTAGTTGCTATTCATTTGCATAATTAATTTTTTCCCTCTCACGTTCAATTTTCCTTTTATATACTTCACAATTTTTGTCTAATGGTCCATGATTAATAGGTAATCCTAGATTAAAATCCTGGTTTGCACTTTTACAATTTGGACAGCATTTGTACATTTCACTGGTACTACAGTTTTCTGTTGAATGTCCTTCTAATCCACAAGTAAGACATCTTCCTGATTTTGTGCAGTATTTAGCTGTGTGGTTAAATCCGATACATTTATAGCATGGCAAAACATTGATGTACTCGAAAACAGAGCAAACAGACATGTCGATAAAAATAATACCCTGATTCATAACACACTGAACCGGTAAAACGTCTAGGAAGTAGTACTCAATACCAGACTAAACTGAATATCCCACATTTATTATTTACGTTCTGTCTCACAATTATTTGTTGTTAGCTCACCATTTTTAAAAGCAAGGTTGCAGCCTCAAACTAGACAATACACACATAATAGATTTTGCAAAAATCGTAATTTGGCGTAAGGCATTCCTCTCTGACAGTTGGAGCTACGTAATACGGTGTCGTTTCGTAATAACAAAGATGTATTTCGAAAATAATATATTCCATTCTTGCAGGTCTGGGAGACTTCTTCGAGGATGTTAAGAAGGCCTATGCTGAAGCCAATCAATTGCTCGGAGACATAATCAAAGTAACACCTTCGTCGAAGGTGGTAGGAGATTTAGCTCAATTCATGGTACAGAACAAACTGAAACCCCAAGATGTCTTGGATAGGGCTGAGGAGTTATCATTCCCCAAATCGGTTGTAGAGTTCCTGCAAGGTCATATTGGCCAGCCTTACGGTGGCTTCCCTGAGCCTCTTAGGTCAAAGGTAAGTTGAAGCCTACCAGCAGCTACAATTTTTGAACGTATATAAGCATTGCGTCTAGCACATTTAATATTCTTTCGATTCAAATCGATATATAAACTGAATCATGCGCTTGACGCTAAACTCTTTATAAACAGGGATTCCGCAACGTTCGTCTGCAACGCTGATGCTATACTTGATGAAGTTTCAACTTTCTGACGTTCCCGATTCAACCAATGGAAAATAGCCTGCAAATCACGTGCTTATTGCGAAGGATCGGCTGATTTTTCGCGTTCTTTCTCTGTTTGGCATGTTATTCTGTTCAATGGCAAGTAGAACACATAATAGTCGCCATCTAGCGGTCACGTGGTGAGTGGGCCTGCAATTTCGCGGACAATCCCAATCGGTAGGCTTTGATTTGCGATGTTTTGTAGTGGTCGATTCTAGCGGTAGATGGCGCTATACGCTGCCTCATTTCAGTAGACCTCACACTTTGGGGAGTAGGCAAGCTGTCTTTGGTCGGATGGACAAAAGCAAAGCATGTTTATTTTATTTTGTCAAAAACTACTTGCCCTATGAACATGACATGTCAACTGTCAATGGATTTTGCGACAGGGTCAAATTAAATGGATTTTTTTACAAGTGTGTGGAGGTTCTTTGTTTTTCTACTGGAGACTTGGAATTTGGCAAAGACGTAGCTTATAGGCAAAACATTTCAGTTAAAACGGATCTTGGTCAGTGCCGTATCAAGGAGGTTAGACAGTACTCGCGAGTTTGTTTTAAATTCCTTAGAGTTTTCTGTTTGGTACCTAAAATTGGCAATAATGAGGTTCTTTAGAGAAGAATGAATTTTCCGACACAGGCGAGAAGGGTTTCGGCCATCACAATTTTATAGATGTTCCTCGTTACTACTATAACTATCTAAAACTGTAATGACTCATCGATGTTCACGTGAACATCACTTAACTACCAGTAGTCGGCTGTTCATAGGCGGGGTATGAATGTTTAACATGGGTGAACTAGATTTGTCACATACTTAATAAATAATAATACAAATTTGGGAATTACCTTTATTCATCGTCGCTTCCACTTACATCTGACAGTAATAAACTGTCGCTATCGCTTTCCTCGTTGAAACTGACTATAACTGGCTCTATGATGGTGTCGATGTGGTGGTCAAGCTGCCACATTTTTGTTTCTTCCTTCACAACATGACGGATAGCATTCTGCCAAGCTTCGGGCGTTACTAGCTGTATGGAAGTCTCAAGTAAAACCTTAACGTCTGGTAATTTGAAGGTTGTGTTATGGCGCGCAATATGACCCTTCACTTGAGCCCAGATGAGCTCTATTGAGTTCAGTTCACAGTGGTAGGGCGGTAACCGCAGCACAGTGACACCACATTGACGGGCCATCTCATCAGTCACGTAACTAATGTTCGCAGGTTTGTGCTGTTTAATTTTTTCATACAATTCCGCTTTCACACATGAATCGTCAAACGGGATTCCTTTTTCGCGCAACCATTGCTGCATGTCACTTTTTCGAGATCCCATAGTCGGTACACGTTCGGCTCGACGACTATGGTAGGAGGCATTATCCATGACGATCACAGAGTTGGGCTCAACTCGCTGAAGCACCCCTTGAAACCAGCTCTCGAAGCAGCTGGCATTCATTTCGTCATAGTAATCACCTAGTTTCTTAGAGACGAAAATCAAGTCACACTCTTCTAAAAAGCCACTATCGCTACCAATATGAGTTACGATCAATCTTCGACCTTTCCCTGATGGTCCACGAAGACCTGTTGACAAACCTTCAATGCTTGCTTGTCGGTTACTCACTACGTTTTTGTCTATCCAGGTTTTTTTAACTGTGTGACCTGCATTTACCCATGTCTCGTCCAAATAATAGATCTTTCTGCTTTTTCGCCTATATTCAATCATTTCGCGTAGGTATTTTCGACGCCAGGCGACTATTTCAGGTCTCTCTATCAATACTGACTTCCGATTACGCGTTTCGTAACGAAAATTAATTTCGTGCAGGGATTTCCTCATTACCTCGACGCTCATTTGGGGTATAATTTCATTTTCCTTGATCGCTGCATGTACAGCCTAGGGGGTTGGTATCTCATTCCTAAAGAAGAATGAATGTACGGTTCGCCTTAACGCCATTTTTCTATCGTCATCCAATTTAACGGCCTTTCGTCCCTTCAAATTAAACTTTGGATCAGTAGTAGCTCCAGTTTTCTTCTTTTTATGCACCACCCTGCGAATGGTCCACTCTGGAACGCCTGTCATACTTTCACAACGCGCTAGTGCATCTCCCTGCGACATAGTTCTGTTCAGATAATTGAACACGTTGAGCACGATTTCTTTCGCGTCCCTCTTCAGTGCTTTACGAAGCCGTCTACTTGTTCCCTGGCTTTCAATACTTCCACTCATGCCATTTGTACTCTCCATGGTTAAGTATAACCAAACAGTAACCACAGAAATCACAACAATAACAATCACACAACAATTCTTATAAAAACACACAATATGCGATCGCTCAACGAAACACGTTCCAATGCGTTGCCGACGCCTATGAGTCTGCCGGTCGAGGCGCGTCTTTGATTTCATTGGTTCTACCGGCGGAGAACAATCAGCCATTATTTCCATCTCTGTCTGTGCTGTTGACCACCGCAAAGCCACAGAAACGACATATGTCGTACGCTATACGGCTGTACTGGAAGGAAGCCGGGATCGAGCTCTGATCACGTGTTGATCACGCGTATGAGTCATTACAGTTTTAAATAGTTGTAGTATAACTAGGCAGGTAGTTTTCACAACCTGAAATAGAGTCTCCACTAATGTATTAACCTTAGATTTGTGGTTATTTTAATCGTGAAGAGTAATACCTAGTAATATAAACAACATATCTTGAAAGTTGGGACTCTTTTTCGGAAACTGCTACGTTTGTAATAACAAAGCTAATGTGTGGTGAAACAACGGCAAAAATGCAGAAAACAAATCATAAAGTACTCATCGTTCATCGAAAAGAAATGTCAAGTACAGCTCTGTCACTTGTAAGAATTGTTCAAAGTTGTGTGCGATAGATTCAAAGACACATGTATGTATTAAGCTTTTAGAATAGACTGGCTTTCCCGAACGAATGCAGCAGATTGCTAAATTTGCACACTTAGCTCATTTCAGTTTTATACACTAAACATTCAATTCCACCCCAAACAAAAAAGAAATCACGAAGGATCTTGAAAAACGATCTGCATCGCTCGCGAAACCTCGGTAGCAATTGGAAGACACTCACCCTAAATTAAAATAATATTGATATCCCCGATATTGCTGTATGGTGTGCCGTTTTTGATTTGTTTTTTTTTTTTTTAGAAAAGATGTGCAAAGATTTCTGAGTACCGATGCGCATCGTACGTGTTGACGTTTAATCTTTGGTGTATTTGTTGTTATAAGAAACTTCTCATTTTTTCCAAGATTGTATGCCATGTGAAGGATAGCCCCAACTTTGAGGACATCCTTTATAATTGTGTATTTGTCGTAGGTGTTGAGAGACATGCCGCGTATCGAAGGAAGGCCAGGCGAGAGCCTTCCTCCACTCGACTTTAACAAATTGAAGACGGACCTGACTGAAACATTCCCGAATAGTACTGACCGCGACGTGATGTCCGCTGCTCTCTATCCTCAAGTAACGAACGAATATCTGGCATTCAACGAGAAGTACGGACCTGTGGACAAGTTGGACACTAGGATCTTCCTCGTTGGACCTAAAGTAGGCGAAGAATTCGAATGTACAATTGAAAAAGGTGAGAATGAACACGATAGAGGGTTTTACACATACGCGTACGGTATTTTTCACGAGTATCCATTATGGTAGAGCAACAGCTGATTATCTAGTGATATTTCAAAACTCCCCATGTCGACAAGTGACACATAGTTAATGCTGAGGGATCCGTCAACGCCAGGTAGACAGATTTGTATTTTGTTATGTTTTTTCTACGCTACAGATTCATTTTGAACTTGCTAACAACAATTTAGAAAACTACCATTGCATATAATAGAACGTTACAAGCAAAAGGGATGCTAATGACCATGACTACATTTCAAGTCAGGTAGGAATAAAATAAGACAGTTTTTGACTATGTTAATCATCTCTATTTTTTACTTGAAACACCATAGTTTGTCCATTCCAAATGGTTAATTAGATATCAATACCCCCTCGTAGCATGTACACCTTTTCTACACGAATTACTTGGTCTGATCAACGATTTTAAACTAATTTCATTAGACTGTATCGAGGTCCCTGGATTGGATATACCTTATTAACTCTTGTCCAACAGGTAAAACACTGGGTATTAAGACGTTAGCCGTTGCTGAGGACCTGACAGAAAATGGCGAAAGAGAGGTATTCTTCGAATTGAACGGTACGCTACGATCAGTACTGATTCTGGACAAAGATGCTGGCAAAGAAATGCAGATCCATCCTAAGGCTGACAAAACAAACAAGAAACAGGTCAGTATTGCAAAAAATACTTCTTTAGTAAGCAACAACTTGAGAGATAGTAAAAATGGACGCCAACGGGATTCGAACCCAGATCTCCCTACTTGCGCAGAGCATACACTAAGTGCGCGAGCGGTTAACAATTAAAAAACAAAGGTCTAAAATAACAATACCTCCTCAGATGCCTTGGGATTTTGTTTATTGATGTTTGAACAATATTTAGAAACATTGACAACATTAAAAATTTTGTTTTTCATATCGTTTTTCTGGGTCGAAAATAGCATATTTCCAACTGTTACAGATATTGTATCGCTCATATCCCAAAAACTGCCAACCTAAGAGAAAAGTTTTGAAGTACTTTTTTTGTTCCGAATGTCCCGAAAACCTAAAATCACTTTGACCGGAGCAAAAAACTGTTTTTGGAACTTTTTGAAGCTAATTTGAGCCTGACAACTTGCAGTGAAAAGGTGCAATTCTTAAGTGAGATTATATAAAAAATCCAAAACAGGACGTTTTTCCCATCAAATGCGACGATATTGCCCGGACTATAAGGGTTATGGCCAGTGTTTCGCCATCTTACTTTTGCAGAGAAATGTTTTCCAAATTCAAAATTTCAACCTTGCCATTGTCATTAATTCATCATAATATACTAAGTGACATATAAATCCGAACACCCAGTACAAATGGTTTTATTTTAATAAAATTTTGTTTAAGTACTTAATGAAGCATAATAAGTAAATGATAAAAATTTCAAAATGATTGCACTGCTTTAAAGCCCTTTGACCTTTAATAATGTGTGGATGCACCCTGATGTGCTACGCAGGGTGTCAAGATAGGGTAAAAGATGGGGTTCTAGAACTTCGTGGATATAACGCTGCGCGTTCATGTTACCTCTGATGAAGATTAAAGGTGACCTGGAACCATAAGCTATAGGACCCCAAACCATAACTCCAACAGTGTGATGAACATGTCTTTCAACAAAAAACTGTGGATTCCTCCTTTCACCACGTCGCCTTCTAACCCTGGCACGACCATCGTGCATGCCTAAACAAAATCGAGACTCGTCACTAAAGACAATACTGTTCCATTCCTGATCCCAGAGCGACCGTTGTCTGCACCACTCAAGGCGATTACGTCGGTGTTCTCGAGTTAAAGGGAGGACCCAGTGTGGCCGGTATGAGAACAAGCCAAAACTTCTCATTCGTCGGTAAACACTTCGCATGCTAATAGGTCTTCCGCGTTCTGCAAACCATTCATTTGCAATGGACCTGGTAGTGGAGAAACGGTCCCTTAGGGCCAATAATCTTAGGCGGCGATCTTCACGGTCTGTTGTTCTACGGCGGCGTCCAGTGCCCCTTGCTGTTTGCGTACGGCCTTCTCGAAGCCATGCCTGACAACACCTAACCACAGTGTCTACACTTCTTTGCACTCTAACTGCAATTGCCCGAAAAGAAAGTCCAGCTTCCCGAAGTCCCACTATACGGCCCCTATCAAACTCACTAAGTTGACGAAATCGTACAGGTCTCCGTACTCTAGGCATCGTAACCGATCGTAAAGGATGTCAAGAACCAAAATCCGCCAACGTTGATTCTTTACTGCGGCTGAAATATTCATTTCTAGAGCGTTAGTGAATTAAAAAAAAAGCAGTATAAAAACCGGTAATGTCCAACTGATAAGGCTGAACAGTTTTTCACTTGTTATTTACAGTAAGATAAATACATTCACCAACTTTTATTAAAATAAAACCATTTAAACTGGGTGTTCGGATTTATATGTCACTTAGTATATTTGTATTTATTTATTTAATAACAGAATTAAACTTTTAATTTTACTTTGCATAATTAAAATCCTAGATATAAAAATGGTTTTGTTCTGACAAATTATAAATTAAAAGTGAAAAGAAATCACCAAATGTTTTAGGTCAAAAACTTTTAATAACTTATCCAATTCTATTATAAAAATGTCTCTTCGAGAAATAAATTTTAAAGGAATCAAGCTTTTCCTAGAACTCATGTGTCTTTCAATTTCAGATATAATAGTAATATTTTTCTTCTACTTTAGGTTGGTGCTCCTATGCCTGGTACAGTGATTGACATCAGAGTCAAACCGGGTGACAAGGTCGAAAAGGGAACGCCACTGGTTATCCTATCAGCCATGAAAATGGAGACTGTAGTACAGAGTCCCGTCGCAGGTGTTATCAAAACTATTGATGCTACGCTGAACATGAAGTTGGATGCTGAAGACTTGATAGTCACTATGGAATAATAATATAGAATTTTGATAAGGGGAGGATCAAACTTGAATCGTTAATAGGTAACTGGATCGCCGAGTCGATGTTAAAAGTCGAAAGTTAGAAAAATCTACGTTCGTTCAATTTTAAATAAAAAAGATCAAAAATCTGTTAAGCTGAAAGGTATGACCAAAACATTGGTCATTCGATTGATTCCGTCTGAACAATACAAGTAAAACACGTCCATAATCACGAAATTCTTCTTAAAACATGATGACACTTGAACCACCACCACCACCACCACCACCACCAATTTTGCCGCAACCCTATGTATTGAAAGAGGCGTGCTAGTCTTGTATATTCCTAAAGTCCTTAAGGTGCACAACTGAAGAGCAAAGACATTTTTTTCAAAACTGTCAGTCTCACAATTTGTCAAAGTTTAAACATAATTTGATTGTAAACAGCAAAATTGCCGAACTATTGTTGTTTTTTAAATAATAAAATAGTGTGGACCCTGAGGAATAAATCAAATAATCATTTGTATAAATTACCTTATTCAATAGTAGATTTTATTCGTGGATAAGAACTATCAAAACATAAATTTAACTGGCATGGAGTACAAGAAATAAGAGACACGTTTGAGCAATCACAAGACTTTTCAACTCATCAAAGGAAAAACACTTCATTTACATTTTAGGAAAGAACTATTTCGTTAGAAAGTTTCGATGCAAACCATGCGTATTTAATCATTTTCTGAAAAATTGGTGCAGGTAACTAATGATGAACTAACACTGAATGAATGAGACTTCGCCTTTTTATGCAGCCAAATATGAACAGTTCTTGATTTTTTAATAAGGTTTTTGATTTGCCTGTAAAAGTAAACATAGTACGGTTGACAAATTTTTACAGCACATATGCATTTTTAAACTCGGACAAGTGGTGAGAACGACACTTTTAAGAGAAATATCATTCTTATTTTTAACATGTGTACTTGAAGACTGTTTGGACCACACTAAATTACCAATTTACAAAATTTCTAAAACGGATTTTCCTAATTTCTAAAATGTATGAGATCACATGATCTCGTTTTCGGCTGTAGTTGAAAATACCTACATATACCTCGAAATCAAAACTACCAAAAATTATGTTATGTACATTTTTAAATTTTATACACACTTAAGTATACAGGTATTTCACTTAATTGCGTATTTGTATATTTAGGAACAAATCTTCCATGTTAGCTCTATTGGCCACTCCACTTCTGGCTGTGTCCCTAATGAAAAATTTGGGAGCAAGCCGATCAATTTTAACTTTATTATTTTTATTTGTTTCATTTTGTAAATATGGATTTTTTATTTTTTGCTGTTATGTTATGAACCAATTTTGAATTTGTTACGTATATTTTTACATGTAATATATTTTTATATATACAACAACGTTCTATTTATTCTTCCCACCAGAATCAACCTACTTGACTGTTGTCTGACTCCGATCTTCCCTATACAGGGTGCGGCAGAGAGGACGGACGTTTTTGGGATGGGTAGTACTCTCCGCCACCGTCTACGAGAGAGGTGGGGAGGGTGCCGTTTGGTCGTGATGTTACCGTGAACTTAGAGCGCGACGTCGACATGATCACCAACTTCTTTCTCTCTGAATGACGGCGGCGACGTGTTCTAATCCGACGTGTGTGGTTCCAGCAGGATGGGGCGACCGCCCACGCAGCCCGAGCATCGATGGACGTTATTCGCCCTTTCTTCCCTGGTCGCCTTATTTTCAGGTTTGGCGATGTTCATTGGCCTCCTCGGTCCCCAGATTTATCCATTTGCGATTTTTTTATGGGACACCTCAAGGCTAGAGTATACGCGAACAAGCCCCGAACTCTGGACGAATTGAAGGGCGAAATTCGCGTGGAAGTCTCCCAAGTTGAGAGAGCGATGTTAGAGAGAGTCTACGCGAACTTCCAAGAACGCCTCCAGCACTGCATCAACGGTTTTGTCCACCACATGGCTGATGTGATTTTCCACACTTGACTGTCTCAAATGCTATTTCCTTGTGAACTTATAATAATAATAAATTTGTTTTCGAGTAAAAATTAACTATTTTATGATTTTTTTAAAACCGTATATCCTCTCTGCCGCACCCTGTATGAATAGAAATATCAAAATAGTTACCTCCCTCTATGCATGTTCTAAGAATGTCCTCTAATAGCAATATCACGTGCTAAACTCCTGCGTAAATAACATTCCGCAAGTCAATAGAATGAGCTAAGAATATAAATGACAAGCCCCTATTGGTAGCAGATATCACACATTCTAAGAATGTTTGCATCAGGTGATTTGGCATAATCAATAAAAATATGTTCTAAGAATGTGCTCTTCAATATCAAGGCACTTTCTAAGAATATTCCCAAGAGGTGATTTCGCAGTCTTAGAGAGTATACACATCCATTGGTTGTCTATTAGATATCCAAGATGGATATCCAGGATATTCTTTGGATGGACAACCAATACTGATGTTATATCTTTATAGAAAGATTTAATGGCTGCTTCAGGTAAATCCAGATGATAATCCTACAGGCACGCGAACCTGACAAGTCCAATTCCAAATCGTAGAAGGAAATTTGGACGGATTCTGATTAAACAACAACAACAACAAATTTTTCCAAATAACAATGCGAAATACATTAATGTATCCACAATGTAAAGGGGGTATGCAGATAAGCACGAACGCGAATGAGGCAACCCGTAGTACGCATGAGCATACGTATATGTACGTCTGAACGAGGCGTACGAATTTGTATGCATTCGGGCTCGATCCGATCGTTTCTTCGCGGTACATCAAAGTGAGGTACATACATACATGCTCGGTGCGTGCTCAGTCTGGACGGAAATAAACATTTCATGTCGAGTAACTAGTAGTGCACGGAAGAAGATATATTATAATCAAAAATATAATGCTTCTTTTTAATAATAATGGAATGGTCTCAGCAGACCCCCCCCCCCAAAATTCCGAAAGAAATTGTTGTTCAGATTTAAACATAAACGACAAACTGAGAAAATTCAAGTGATCTCAATCATATTATGTAAATATATGAAACAAATAATTGAAAATGTTTAGCCTATGTCCGTCCTTGAGGTCTAGTCTATATCAGTGCTAAAATTGAAAGAAATCGGTTCAGCTGTTTTGGCGTGAAAGCGGAGCATACAAACAAACATACACACTTTCACATTTACAATACAGCAGACGCTCGATAACGTAAACACGGGATAATGAAAACTTACGCTAATGTAAACACAAACTTCGTTCTATAGGATCAAACGGAACGCGCGATAACGTAAACAATGTGTACGCTCGATAACGTAAACAACTCTCGGCGCACGGAAACAGCGCGACGGTAAAATGCTGAAGCCTCGATGATTTATGTCGGGCGTCGGGGAGTCCTCGATTTATGATGTAGAGTGTAGGAGATTCAACTCTGCGATAAAATACGACAAACTCGGTCAGTCGTATGTCGTATGATCGTTTGGGATACGTTTATACGTACGTATGTATTTCATTTTTGAACTTAAGTGAATACATTGCACGCGTTAATATATTTTACGACTATGGCATCCACATCCTATAAAAGAAAGTGTTTTAAAGTTGAGTGAGAAAGTGAAAATCATAGACGAAGTTGCACTAGGTGCGGGAGTGACACAGTTAGCAAAAAAATATGGAGTATCGAAAGCAACAATCTGTAAAATTAAGCGTATGAAAACTCAAATTTTACAAAGAACGTGCAATACATTTGGAGGTCCGGGAAAAAGAAAAACTTTAAAAAATGCGAAGGCACCTAAAATGGAAAATTCCCTGTATAAGTGGTTTTTAAAACAACGGGAAAATCATGTCCCAGTTAGTGGCGAAGTACTTATACAGAGAGCGAGACTGTTAAATGAAAAACTGAAAGAAACTGAAAATTTCGTAGCTAGGCTACAACGATCCAAAACCAGATATGGAATTCGACTGCTGTCTATATCTGGTGAAAAATTATCAGCACATCCACAATTAGTGCAACCATTCAAAGGAAAATTGATGAAAACAATTACCGAGCTAGATTTAAGAATGGAACAAATTTACAACGCACATGAAACTGGCCTTTATTGGAAAATGTTACCAGATAAAACCTATGCTGCATCATTTGAAAAATCTGCCCCGGGAAGAAAGCCGGAGAACCAACGAATAACGTTTCTAGCCTGCACTAATGCTAATGGTTCACACAAAATAAAGCCACTGGTAATTGGGAAAGCAAAAAATCCGCGCACATTTAAAAATGTTAATATCCCTGTTGATTATGACTGTTCAAAAACCGCTTGGATGACTAGCAGTATATTCCTGAAATGGTTCCACAGGTGCTTTGTCCCTCAGGTATGACAATCAATTATCACAAATGCTCTATTCATAATTTGAAGATGTGTTTTCAATTTGTAGGTAATAGGTTTCCTAAAACAACAGAAGCTTCCAATAAAAGCGTTGTTACTATTGGATAATGCACCAAGTCATCCTCCCGAGCAACAACTGAGGAGCAGGGATGGGTCAATTTTCGCATGTACATGCCTCCCAACGTAACACCGTTAATTCAACCGATGGACCAGAATATAATAAGACTCACCAAACTGTACTATAGGAAGTTTCTACTTTCGTCTGTCTTATCAAAGAATCCTGAAAACTTATCTGAGGCTTTAAAAAAGTAACATTACGAGAAGCTGTTTTAGATTTACATATGGTCTGGAATGAACTCAACCAGCAAACTATTCAAAAATGTTGGAACAATCTCTTTTGTACCAATAATGAAGATGATGAAGAAGACGATGTCCCCTTAAGCGTAATTAGAGAACGTTTGCGATCCAATAATGATAATGTTATTAGTGTGTCATTGGATGTTGTTGATCTATTGAAAGCAGTGAATCCCAACATTGTTTGTACTCCTGCTGATATTAATTTATGGAACGAAGATAAGCAGACGAATGATGCTGATAAGGAGGAGGATATGGACAGCGACTATGATGAGAACGATCCCATTGAAGTCAGAAGTGTAGTGACTGACGCGCAAGCTATACAAGTTTTTAACCAAGCTTCAGATTGGGCTGAAAGAAAAGAAGTTTCATACACGGATATTTTAGTTCTTCGTAAATTACGGGCGCAGGCATTGGAAGACAATGCTAAGCGCAAATTTAAGCAGACAAAAATTGTTAATTATTTTTCTTCTAATTAAAAAAATACTTATCGCTGTTAGAATATTTGTTTATTTTCTTATAAATAGTATATATTAAACGTTTCTTTTAATAAATCAAATATTATATAAATCACGTTCGCTAATGTAAACATTTCGATAATGTGAACCACACTTGGATTAAATTAGTTTACATTATCGAGCGTACTGCTGTATTAGTAGAGAAGTAGGGATATTCATTTACCACTATAAAAATACGTTTTTCGTACCTATGGTATTTTCTTTTATGGCTACAAGATTGGACATTTATTTGTTGTTCACCTTCATTATTCTTTTATTATTAATCCATAAATGCGCTCACTTTGAAATTTTCGCAAATCATCTTACATTACATCACATGTAATTAACATCGATGCTTGGAAAACATCGATGTTTCGTGCCCGATGTAAATCGAAAATCGATGTTTAGTTGTCGATGTTAACATCGAGTGCATTATCGATTATTTGCCAACATCGATCATCCCTATACTAACCACTCTGCAACTTGCCAAAAAAAAGAAGAGCACATTAATGAGACGGTCCTTCTTTGCGGAGAACAGGAATTACCTCTGAGAGGGGATGATGATAGTGATCCTTTCTCTTTAAAAATGACTGAAAAAAAGATGAGAAGCTTCGGGCTCTTTTGCGTTTAATGAGGTGATAAAGTGTTGGAAAAGCACATCACAAACAGTGCAAAAAACGCTACTTGTTTGAGCCCTCAAATGCAAAATGAAATCATACAAACAGCTTCAGATATCGTTACAGAAAAAATTATAAATAAAGTTCACAATACTGACTGCTTCAGTATTCTTGGAGATCAAACAATGGATGTTTCAGACACCGAGCAATAATTGAATGAAATATTGACAGGTGAGGCGTTGTTGAGTTCAGAATGACATTCTCGATCGAAATATGTAAAAATGTATAGGGCGTCCCATTTAAAAATCGAAAGTTGGAGTCGTATCCGGTCAAACCGGAAGTACACGTCAAAGCAAAAGAATATGTCAAATAATGTAAATTTATCTATAATACGCAACCCCAAATTTCGTTTTTCTATCTGGAATAATAAAAAAGTTATAGCGGCGAGTCACCTTGGAGAATCACCCGGTATTTAATTGAAATTTCTAGTGTTATAGTTACCCACTGTAAATACTTTTCAAAAAAAGATCGATTTTTAAAGACGAACTTG